CACGATCCTTGGGGTCGGGGTCGTGAGTTCAAGCCCCATGTCGGGTGTAACAGTGACTAAAAAATACAATCTTTAAAAAAAACAAAAAAAAGGTAGGCAGGGTTGCAGTGCGGTGGGAACCGACACACTCTTTGTGGTGAGGTTCCCAGGAGGGGGTTTGACGCACAGCTGTGTGCACCCGCTGATCTGCCCGGCTGCACGGGACCGTGGCCTCGGGTTCGTGCCAGAGTGGGCCTGCCAGCTGTCTGCCTGCCTCCCGCTCAGAGCCTCCCCGAGGCCAGCCTGCAGCACCACGTGGCCCTGTCGCCAGCTGGGCCCAGGGAGGCACCGAGGCTCCTGCGCATTGCAGTCCTGGGCTGGGCGCCTGCGACGCCCTCGCTAGACATCTGCTGAATGCTGGACTCGGATGCCCACGGCCCTGCACTGGGAAGCTGTCCGGGGGCAGGTTTGTGTTGAGAACTAAAGGATCAGATAAGATACATCCTTGAGAACCTGTGAAGCTGCACCGAGGCGTCCTGGATGCTTGGGGCGTCCCCTCCCCTGCTGGCCACTGGGGACTCTGTGCATAACACGCTGAGCCTCCCGCCATGCACTTGCGGCCAGCTGGCGTGTGTCACCTCCTGGTCAGCTCTGGTCCCTGAGCGGAGACCACTGCCACACATGTGCTGGTGCTGGTGCTGGCTTCACAGGGATGCATTGCTTGTCCTAAGTCAGATGCTCTGGTGGTGAAGTTAGCCTCTGAGGGTTTGTGTAGGAGACACCCTAGGTGATCTGTGAGCCCGCTTCAGCCCAGCCGTCAAGGCCGGCCTGGCACCTGGGCACTCCTCCAGGAGACAATCCGCGGCCAGACCGAGTGTGTGTTTAAGGGCAACCTCTTGGTCCCCAACTTCAAAAGCGGTTTCAAGCAGAAGATAGAAAATACTAGAAGAACATGGTAAGGATTGAGGGCTGGTTCTCAAGCCAGTCCAGAAAGTTCCTCCGCAGTCCTGGAAGTGGCCGGTGTTCTGTGTGCTGCAGAAGCCCCGCCTCCCTGCCTTGGCCCTGTACCCTGGACCCTCAGGGCCCTGTCTTGTCACAGAAGACTTGGGCACCAGTGGGCCCCTGGCCACTCCCAGTTCTGGGCTCTATCCTTGGAGGGAAATCATGCTCAGCATCTCGGGCTCCCTTCGGGGGGCTGCGTTAGTCCTCGGTCTTCCGCGGTCAGGGATTACGAGATCATTTTGGCGATGATGATGGACATCAGTGCTCAGTAGAAATTCCCGTCGGGTGAAGAATGAGCTCTGGCACCCCGATGACTGCTTTTATTTTATTTTTATTTTTATTTTTATTTTTTTAAAGATTTTATTTATTTATTCACGATAGTCACAGAGAGAGAGAGAGAGGCAGAGACACAGGCAGAGGGAGAAGCAGGCTCCATGCACCGGGAGCCTGACGTGGGATTCGATCCCAGGTCTCCAGGATCGCGCCCCAGGCCAAAGGCAGGCGCCAAACCGCTGCGCCACCCAGGGATCCCCCGATGACTGCTTTTAAAACTCACCGTTTCGATCAGGAGAATATTCCTGCAAGTTAAAGGATCTACGATGGTTTTTGAGAGACCTGCTTCCATGTGACAGGATGTTCCATCGCCTCTCTGTGTATTAACTAGAACTTCGCCTTACGTTTTCGTGTTCGGAAGCCGCCTCCGTCCCCACACCCGGGGCCCATCTGGGTTGCTGTGTTTCTGGAGGGGTGGCGGGGCCTAGCTGCCTGCAGCACTTGTGTGGGGCAGCCGGCCGTCCTGTGCTAATGCAGGGGCAGATGGCAGTGGGAGGGGCAGGTGTGACATGACCTGTTTCTTTACCTGGTGGCTTCAGTGTGCCTCTCTCCAGGAAAGCCCACGTGCCACTTCGCTGCTGGAGACATGACAGGGCATGTGGTGCCCGGGCACTCGGACCTCAGCGGCCAGGCTGGAAGCTGTGTGCTCCTGGGTGCCCCCACAGGGTCGTGCTAGGCCAGTGGGTTGTGTGGGGGCCCTGCAGGGTGGGTCCCTTGTTGCTGGGGTGGCATCCCCAAGGCAGAGCAGTTGGCACTAAAACACACCCTTTGAGTCATCAGGCCAGCGTTTCCGTCATGAACTTAGTGCCTGTTCAAAGAAGCATCGGCTTCTTTCCCAGCCTGATGACCCTTTTGCAGTAGGAGCGGTCTCACTCCCCCACGGGGCCTTCCCCACGCTTGGCCTCATGGGGACCGAATGCTCACTGAGCAGTGCTTACTCCTCCCTGGGGGCTGGAGTCCCATGCGGGGTCCCAAGGCGTGGAGGCAGAGGAGGCCTCTGGAGTGGGCTGTCCGGGTTTCCTTGGGCCGCGGGGACCAGACGGGGGCCGAGGACCTACCTGCAGAGGGTCTGTCTTCAGGGTGGGCTGCAGGGCTGAGGCCCCGGGGTCTCTCCCAACCCGGACCCCGTGGGCGTGAAGATTGATTTCCTGAGCTGTGTCTCAGCCTCCAAATAACAGCGTGAGTTGCATGCAATTTGTGGACCTGGTGACACAACGTGGGCTTCATGGCGAGAGGCTGACCTTGGCCAACCTCTCCTCTGAGTTCACTTCCCATTGGTCCCGGGAGAGAGGGTTAATGAGGTGGGAACATGTGTGAGCACTTGCGTGTGCCACTGCATTCAGACTCCCCCTTGGCCTGCACCCTGGATGGTCACCATCCAGGGGGTGAGCTTTGTGGGGTCACCAGGTAGAAATGGTATAGGGACAGATGTCTGCGCCCGTGTGGGTTGTACAGTTCCGGAGAGTCGAGGTTTGCATGAGCCTGCCTCAGTTTCCCTGTAGCCCTGGGGCAGTGTGCGCCTGTCACAGGAACCTAGAGGTGCTCTGTGTACAGAAGCCAGGGGTTGGGAGGGGCCTTGCCTACCGGGGTGCGGGCAGAGAGGCAGCCCCAGTTCCGCATGGCCTTGCCTGCTTGGGGTAGGGCTGGTAAAGCGTGGTGCTCGTGTTACTAGATTTCTGGGGTAATTTTCTTTCTTTTTTTTTTTTTTAATATTTATTTATTCATGAGAGACAGGCAGAGGGAGAAGCAGGCTCCATGCAGGGAGCCCGCAGTGGGACTCGATCCTGGGACCCCAGGGTCATGCCCTCGGCTGAAGGTAGGCGCCCAACCACTGAGCCACCCAGGGATCCCCATTTGGGGTCATTTTCACTTGAATTTACTGTAGGTGTTTGGCTGGTTGTAGGTGACCGTTTCCCACCATTCCCCATGTGAGCCGCCCACAGCATCTGCCTATTTCCATGCCCCAGGCTTTCAGCGGAGCACCCCAGCTCTTGGCCATGCCCCTAAATTGTGTGGGGCTGAGAATCCCAGAGGCTGAGGACAATGGGGCCTGGACAGACCCCACGGGTGGGTGGGCTTCTCGGAGTCGCTCCGTCCTTCCGTAGACCATCCGTGTGCCTATGAGGGTCATGTTATGGTGACACTGGGCATCTTTTCTCAGCTGAAGCGTACCAGCTGCAGGCAGGAGCTGCTCTCATCTTTACATAAAAAACCTGGTGAGATGGAAAATTGGAAATCTAAAAGAGTGGAGAGACAAGTAAATTGAAGCTCTGCATGGACATCATCCAGCTTTGGTGGTAGCCCTGTGGGTCTCACTCTGCATGGATGGATGTGGGGAGTAGGAACCAGGAGATGCTCCAGGGCGGGTGGGAGTGCTCCAGGATGGGGCTGCTCCAGGACGGGGAGGGGGGTGCTCCAGGACAGGAAGGGGGATGCTCCAGGATGGGGAGGGGGTGCTCCAGGATGGGAAGGCGGATCTTCCAGGACGGGGAGGGGGGTGCTCCAGGACGGGGAGGGCATGCTCCAGGACGGGGAGGGCGTGCTCTAAGGTGGGGATGGGGGTGCTCCAAGGTGGAGATGGGGGTGCTCCAGGATGGGGGGTGCTCCAGGATGGGGGGTGCTCCAGGATGGGGGTGTTCTAGGACAGGGAGGGGGTGATGCTGCAGAGTGTGCTTGTGGGTTCAGGGTGTGCTGAGAGACACTGAGGCCTTGGCTGCAGAGTGTGCTGTGGGTTCAGGGTGTGCTTGAGAGACACTGAGGGTCAGTGCACCTGTTCACCCTCCGCCCGTGAGGCTGACCTGCTGGCGAGGAGCTTTGTGGCTTCAGGGGTCACGGCATCGGTTTGCGCGGGATACAGCTGAGCTTCCCCACGTGCAGGAGAAGCGAACAGCAGCTCGTGAGGTCCTTCGGTGCCAGAGGCCTCTAGCTTGTTTCTGTAAGTCTGGGTCTTGGCTGGGGTCGGGCACTCGGCCATCTGGAAGGTGAGCGGCTGCCTCGGTCTGGGGGGCCTTCGTGTCCCTGTGTGGTGTTGGCTCCCTGCCCAGGCCACGTGTTGGTGTTTCAGTTTCTTTGGTTTGCATTCCTTTGGCCTGTGGGGAAGCAAGGAGCCTTGCCGTCCATGTGCAGGTGTGCAGTGACCATGGCAGGTGAGGGGCTCCTTTGGAGAGTCACGGGAAGGGACACCCGGCCCACCCTTGGGCCCCCCGGCTCTTGCTGTGTAGGTTTCCTGTGGTTGGAGGACGAGCCTCCAGCGGGCGGGGTCGCCTGGTGTGGCCAGCGAGGCCCTGGCAGCAGGAAGGGCATGTGCAGCACGGGCCTGGACGTGAGGCAGCGGGTGGGCTTTCGGCTCTGTTGAGGCCGTGGCACCTGCTCCGGGGTCCTGGAGCCAAGGGACCCGCCTCAGCCAGGGCCTTGGGTGGTGCCACGTTCCCGGATTCTGAGAGGATTGTCCCCTTCCCACCACCTCCTGAGCCATGAGGCTACTCACCTGCAGAGCATGCCCGGCCCTTCCCGGCGGTCTTGGGGTCCTCCTCCCAGGCCTGTGTGGGGACCGTGGTGGTGGCGTGGCCACGTCTACTTGTGCGCCGTGGGGGCCACACGAACGAAGCCTTCGTGAATAACATCTCCAACCCTTGCCGTTTCTGCCTGCAGCCTGGAATTGTGTCGCCATTTAAACGAGTATTCCTAAAAGGTGAAAAGAGTAGAGATAAGAAAGCCCACGAGAAGGTGACAGAGCGGCGCCCTCTGCACACCGTGGCGCTGTCCCTGCCCGAGCGCGTGGAGCCCGACCGACTCCTGAGTGACTACATCGAGAAGGAGGTGAAGGTAAGTCCTGCACAGCCGAGCGCTCCCCACCGCTCCTCCCGCCCGCTGTCCCGCCTGTGCTGGCCTGTTCATGGGGCAACCGTGCCCACGCGCCATGTTGCTGTCTGCTGGCCTATTTCTGGCTCTTTCTGGAGGAGCAACCACCTCCTTTCTCTCGAGGGTGGGCGTGTTTGTGTTTACGTGTGGGGTCACGGCTGAGGACGCAGGCCTGCTGCACCCTGGCCCATCCTGTGCGCAGGCAGCTGCGGATAAGTGTGCCCCCCCCCAACTCGCTGGAGTGACAGTGAACCAGGGACAGGGACTGTGGCCTCGGGGTCAGTGTGGTGGCGACGGGTCCACCAGGAGCGTGGCACCTGCGCTTGGAGAGGGCTGGGGAAGGTGGGGCTTCAGGGCTCACGGAGGCTGCACAGGTCCAGCCTTGACTCCCAGGCTGGGAGGGGTGTGGGGCCACTTGTGTCCTTGGAGGGGTTTCTGCTTTCACCTAGTCCTCAGGTGATGGGGGACGTGGGTGGCGTCCCCAGCAGAGACAGGACTGGGGAGGCCCAGGTGTGGGGATGGTGGGCAGGGAGGAGGGTCGGGGTGGCCCGAGTGAAGACAAGGATGTGGAGCCCTCTCCCTCCTGAGCCTCCAGGACCCGGCATGTGGGCCGGTCCCATATGGGGTCCCCAGGGTGCTTTCATAGGGCAGCTGGGGCTACTGGCCAGCGGTGCTGCCCACGCACATGGCCTCTGTCGGGGGCAGTGTGGATTCACATGCGCTCAGGGTGGTAGAGCCCATGACAAACACAGGAGGCAAGTGGGAATGTGGCCGCCCTGCAGGAAGGTGGGGAGAGCTAAGAGCATATTCTGGGAACTCTGACTTAACAGGGTCCACTTTTCAATAAGTGGTGTAGACAGGAGCTTTTGCAACAATAGCTGTGGCGATGGGTGTCTTAGAACATTCACTAGGGGCTTGAACGCCAATCAGGAGAGGTCCCCAGAAAAGATGACCAGAGGTGAGGAGAGAGGGAATTAGTGGGCAACGGAACGAGAGCAAAAGAGGTTCGTAGGGTCGACCCAGAGGTCCGGCAGGGGTGAAAGAGGGGAGGCGGCCTCCAGACAGTGACGCGGGACCTGTCGCAGTTGACCACTGCGACCTCGCAGGACCTAGGAGTCCAGGCACAGTGACTGGTGACTGGAGGATGTGCTGCCTCACTGCATGGATCCCCCCGGAGGTGGAGACGCGGGTCCAGAGCCAAAGGATTCCGGGCGTGGTGACAGAGGGCAGGCCCTGCAAGACTCAGGACTGAGCCTACGTGCCTCTGGGAGACAGGACGAGGGGCTTTCTGTGTTTGGGGGGAGTCAGAGCCGTGTGTGAGGACGGGGTGGGTGTGGGGATGGGGGTCCCTGTGAAACCCAGAGAAATAAAGGAGATTTCTGCTTCCAGAGAGTGGGGTGCACATGCCTCTCCCTGGGCCTCTTTGCAAGATGAAGGTCCTGGATGTTGTACATGCAGCAGCCATAAGAGAGGTCTGCAAAAAAAAAAAAAAAAAAGAGAGGTCTGCAAAGTGAACAGAAGCAGAGCAGCAGGGACCTGGGGCCCCAGGTGAGGCCCCCAGCTTCCCTCTCTCCCCGTGTATCCCAGGCTTGGAGTTGAGGACGCCAGCAGCCCAGAAACAGGAACTGGTGCGGACAGACCCCAGTGAAGGCCGCCTATCTGCCTGACAGACCAGCCAAGGCTGAGCCGGGGCCCGCGCCCACCCTGGAGGAGGCCCCCGATGAGCACAGGAGGGACTGGGGTGTCCTCGGCAGCTGCAGGGGGACCAAAGCATGCTTTCCAGCACATGCACCTTCGGAGAGGCCAAGACACTGTTCAAGAGGTTTGTGGCCGAAATGTCATTCTTTGGGCAAAAGAGAAACTTGGAGATTGAAGAAGCTGAGTGCACACAGCAGGGTGAAGCCCGAGGTCTTGGGAACAGTGAGCAGAGCACTTTATCCAAGGGGAGAATGAGGTGACAGCTGCCCCGGGCCGTGAGGGGCAGGAGTGGCGGCCGGACCTCCTTTGGGTGATGGGCCCTGGGGTCGGGTGGAGGGGAAAGTGGAGGACCGCACGCGGGCCAACATACCCACTAGCTCCTCGGGAGCGCTCCCTCCCGTGTCCGTCCTGTGGGTTTGAATCACTCTGTAACCGCTGAGGACACTGTGGCTTGTGTGGAGTGTCCTGTCGGAGGGCTCCAGCCTGCATGCTCCCACTGGAGGAGTCCCTCTCGTGTTCGAGGAATGGGCACCAGCGCTGTGTCCTCTCCCGGAAAGAGAAGGTGCGGGGTTACCCTGTGAAGGGACGCGAGCCTGGAGCAGGATTCCAAGAGGGAACCCATCCCGTCAACAGGCGAAGGCGTAACTCTCATGGGATCCTATCAACTGATGCAGAAAAAGCATCCAACACCACTCATGATGAAAAAAACTCAGAAAAACAGGATGTGTACATGAGCAATAATATTCGTTCAAGGTGGGCAACAGACTTAAAAACAAAACACCAAAAAAAAAAACAAAAAACAAACAAAAAAAACACCATTTACTTATGGTTACTTAAGAAACGGGAAGACCAGGATACAAATGGAGCCAAACTCATGTGGGGTTTGCTGAGAGCGCCCAGTAGGGATGCAGGGAAGCACTGGTCTGCGTGTCCCGCCTTGTTGGTGGACGGTGGACCGAGCCCATCGGTGTGTCACGTAGCCCTGGACCCGTGTGCAGCTTAACATCATTCTTCCCAAAATCCCAGTGAGGTTTTTGTAGATGTGAAGATTTCTCTGAAGTGCATGTGGAAATTCAGCGGAATCGCTGAGACAGCCTGGGAAGAGGAGGAGCCAGGCCCCTGCTCTTGTGACGTATTGGCAGAGGGACCCACACGGTCGGCGGGCGGGTCGAGAGCCCGAAACACACCCACACGGACGTGCCCAGTGCGATTTTGACGAAGCACAAACACAGTGTACGGGGGACGGGTAGTCATCTCAGACGGTGCCAGGGCTGCTGGACACCCACGGAGGAACCGTGAGCCTCACCCCACGCCCCACCCATATGTGCATTCAGGACATGCTGGGCTTGGCCGAGATGCCGTGGGCAGGACAGGGTACCCCGTCTGTTGTCACCAGGAAAGAGCCTTGCCCTCCGCGAGGCTGGCCTGCCACCCCGAGCCAGTTGGCCTGTCGTAGACGGTGCCGTAGCGGGGCCACAGTCTGCCCGTGCGGCAGGGCCTGCCATGCGCTGGCGTGTTCTTGGCCAGGTGAGCGTAGCCCGGCCTCTGCCTTCCATCAGCTGTGCATATGGTGAGCTAAGGAGGCCCCCGTGCGTCTGTGCCGGGCTCCTGTGGCTCTTAGGGTAGGACCGGGACCCTGCTTCTGTCCCTCTTGGAGGGGATGGGAACGGCTCCTGGTGGCTTTGGAGAGGAACGTGTTTGTGCCGTGAGCTCACCTGTTCTCACAAAGAGCCCGTCTGGCTCCCTTGTGCTGGCCCCGGCCCTGGCCCCGGCCCGCCGGTTCTGCAGAGCCGGGCTGCCCACGGGTGGAGCCTGCCATCCCGGCGCCACGTCCATCTTGGAGGGCAGCACACGCCTCTGCTTTTGCCACAGGTGGTGACACTCTCTTTGGAACTATAGCCAGGGGCAGCAGCGGAATGAGTTTCAGGGGCTGCCACGTGGCCTCCTGGACCTCGGTAGCCCCTGCATTCTGGAGGCTAAGTACACCCCCTCCTTACGAGGGGGGCATGGGTCTGGAGGCCAAGGATGCACTGTGTGCACGTGGGTCTGGCCCCTGCGTCCCTGTCCCCGCAGGACCTCGTGGACCATCTGGGGCCCGGGGTGCTGACATCGTCTCCAGACCTGGGAGAGAATTCCCGTTCCCCAGGGTACGGTGGCTCAGGAGAGAGGCTAATCCCTTTGGGACAACTGGGCATCTCCACAGCACACCTCCCTGGGCCCCACGGGTGCCTTCTCCTGGGGCTTCACCTCTCATTCGGCCACCTTTCTAGGTCTGGAACCCGCGTCAGGGAGCTGAGCCTTTGTGCCCAAGCCGTGCCCTCAGTGTTGCTCCCATCTGTGTGCATTAGGCGGTGCCCCAGGCTCGCATGCTGTGGGAGCCGGCACCCCACTGCCGCTCCGTGGCCATGCCTGCTACTCCCGAGGCTTGGCACTTCTGCCCAGCACCGCTCCTCCTCTTGTCCCCTTGCTCTGCGGCGCCCAGTTCTGTGAGCCTCTCCTGCCATCAGCTGCGCCTCTCAGAGCTGCTCATTCTCCAGAGTGGGGTGTCCTTCCGGCCCTCCCGAGGAGCAGAGGGAGCAGAGCGTGAGGTTCCCTGTCTGACGCGGGAACCCATCCAGTGGGCCCCCCTGTGAGCCTCACCTGCAGTTCACCATGGCCGCTGTGCGACCTCTGCTGTGTTCCATGCGGGCCTCGCTCTTGTCGAGGTGCTGGCAGCTGGATGTCTGTGTGTGGGGGGGTCCCCGCAGACCCCCTGCCCCATCTGTGTTCCGTCCTCAGTCATGGGCTCATACCTGCTACAGGCGGATGGGGTGGACCCCGAGAAGAGTGAGCAGTGTCCACACGTGTGTGTGCACGTGTGTGTAGGAGGTGTCAGCTGTCTTTCAGCAAGTAGGAAAAGGCTACTTTTGCAGCCCTGGGGTGTGGAGAAACTGGGTACCCACCCTTGTGTCCCTGTCCCTGTGTGGAAGTCCTGCCTTTCCATCAGACCCCGCTCTGCCGCACGGATCTTGCCGAGTGAGGCTGGGGTGGCTGGACGTTGTCTGGACGCCACCTTAGGGTCGGTATAAACACAGCCTTCTGTTGTGTCCCGTCAGCAGTGATTTTTGGAAGCACTTTCTGTGTTTGGAGCTGGAGCGTGAGCTCGGCAGCATGCCTCTGCGCTGGCTGTGGTACCTAATGGTGGCCGGAGCGGGGCAGGGTGAGTGGTGCCCAAGACAGCCTGGCCATATCGTCTTCCACCTCGGTGAGGCGGGGCCCTTGGGCAGATGTCACTGCTAGTCACACGTCCCCTCAGGCTCTCTCATGCTTCGTCGCATTCACCCCTCTATAGCCGTGCCCTTGATGTGCTGGGATTAGTGGTCGGTCCCAAGCCCTGTACCCTTTCCCCTTGGTGGGTGTGGGCCAGCTGCTGCTGGCCTGCTAGGGCATGGGGGTGATTGGGGTTGGCCAGAGAACCTTGCGGGATGACGAGCCCGGTGCAGTAAGTGCTGTTCAGGAGCACACCCTGTCCCATCCAGGGCTGCAACAAGGACGAGAGCTGCAATCTTCTTTTATTGAAAATATTGTTTTACCAAGAAATATGTTATAGTGAACGAAATCTCCAATGGTGGCTCCCCTTCCTATGAAGAAAGTGGAATCTTCCCCAGAGATCTGGTTGCTGAGCAGAAGCATGGTGGCGCTGAGAGAAGGGGAAGGGATGGGTGACATCATCCCCCCAGGCCATATAGTGGGGGGCCCGTCCCCACGCAGTCCTGCACACACAGCGCCTGGGCATCATCATTTCAGCAAAGTGCTGAACCGGCAGTGATGGTTCACGGATGTGATCGTGTTCCTCAGGATTCCAAAAGTTGTTAGCAAATGAAGTTTTTTTTTTTTGAAGATTTTTATTTATTTATTCATGAGAGACACAGGCAGAGGGAGAAGCAGGCTCCATGCAGGGAACCCGATGTGGGACTCAATCCCAGGACTCCAGGATCACGCCCTCGGCCCAAGGCAGACACTTAACCGCTGAGCCACTCAGGCACCCTTAATCTGTAGTTTTTCTGTTATTCTAGTATCTTTGATTTTGACACTAGGGTCATGCCACCTCATAGGATGGGTTAGAGTGTTTTCTCTGTTTTTACTTTCTGGAAGAGATTATAGAGAATCGGTATCATTTTTTCTTTTAGTATGTGTTAGAATTCACCAGTGAACCTGACTGGACTTGGTGCTTTCTGTTTTGGAAGGTTGTTAATTATTGATTCAATTCCGTTAATAGAACATATGCCTATTCAGATTAAGCAATTCATTTTGTATGAATTTTGACAGTTGTGTCTTTCAGGGAATTCCATTGTGACTTGAGAACATACTGTGCATGGTTTCTTGTCTTTTAAATTTGTTAAGGTGCGTTTTACGACCCAGTGTGTGCTGTTTCTTGGTGAATGTTTATGTGAGCTTAAGAAGAAAGCATATCCTGGGCAGCCCAGTGGTGCAGCGGTATAGCGCCGCCTTCAGCCCAGGGCGTGATCCTGGAAACCCTGGATCGAGTCCCAGGTCGGGCTCTCTGCATGGAGCCTGCTTCTCCCTCTGCCTGTGTCTCTGCCTCTCTCTCTCTCTCTCTCTCTCTCTCTCTCTCTGCATCTCTATGAATAAATAAATAAAATCTTAAAAAAAAAAGAAAAAAAGAAGAAAGCATATCCTGCAGCTGTGTATAGATATCAATTATATAGTAGCCTACGTATGTCAGTTATGACCTGTTGATTGAGGGTGTTGAGTTTACCTGTGTCCTCACTGATTTTCTACCTGCAGGATCTGTCCATTTCTGATAGGGGTGTTGAATTCTCCAGGTGTAATTGTGGCTTCATTTCTTTCTCCTTGCAGTTTTGCCCATTTTTGCCTTGTGTATTTTGATGCTCTGCTGTTATGTACAAATGTGTTAAAGACTGTTACATCTTCTTAGAGAAGTATTTTTGTTATATAAGGCTCCTCTTTAAAGTGGGTTTCCAAATGCCTGGGTGGCTCAGCGGTTGAGGTCTGCCTTTAGCTCAGGGCGTGATCCACAGTTTCTGGATTGAGTCCTGCATTGGGTTCCCCGCAGGGAGCCTACTCCTCTCTCTGCCTGTGTCTCTGCCTCGCTCTCTGTGAGTCTCATGAATAAATTAATAAAATCTTTAAAAAAAAAAAAGACTTGCAAATTCTGCAAGAACCTCTAAAAAAATAAAGTGGGTTTCCTGGGACTCCTGGGTGGCTCAGTTGGTAGATCGTGCAGCTCAGTCTCAGGGCGTGAGTTGGAGCCCCATGTGGAGTGTAGAGATTACCTAAATAAATAAAACTTGAAAAAACATTAAAAAAAATTTTAATAAGCTCTGTGCCCAACAAGGGGCTTGAACTCGCCACGCCAAGATTAAGACTGAGTGCACGCTCTCTTGCTGTCACTCAAATAAAATAAATAAATCTTAAAATCCCTCAAATTTTGTTTGTCAGAGAAAGTTTTTATTTCTCCTTTGCTTGAAGGACTGAGCCGAGAGTGCGGCAGGCTGCTCACTGCTTGAGCTGCAGGCCCCCAGCCCCCAGGCCCCTGGCCCCCAGCCCCCAAGCCCCCAGCCCCTAGGCCCCCAGGCTCCAGCTCTCAGGCTCCCAGGCCCCCAGCCCCCGGGCCCCAGGCCCTGAGACCCAGCCCCCAAGCCCCCAGCCCCCAGCCCCCAGGCCCAGCCCCAGGCCGGGAGGGCAGCTCCTGCACAGGCTGAGGAGCTCCTGTTCCTGTGCCGCCTTCCTCAGGCTCTTTCCCCCTCGTTCTCCCTTTTGGGAGGCTCCCACCGGCCCATCTCGAGGCCACCCCAGCACGTCCGTCCGCGGCCCCTGTGACCGTGGCTTGGGGCGGCTGCAATTTCCATGTGTCACTGGCGTCATCCAGGAAGCCCGTGCTGCAGCCCTTCCTCGTGAAGGTGGTGCTGCTGTCCCGGGCCGCGGTCAGCGCCGCGCTCGCGCCTGTCCGCACTTCCGAGGGCTATGATCCGTCTGTCTGTTGGTGTGTCTGTCCTGCGGGCAGGTGGTGCCCCTGGATGGTGGGGCCGCACGCACTTCTCCCTCGGCCTCCCCTGGCTGGAGTTGGGGTGCCCGATCCTGGGACAGCAGCGCTCCTTGGGGCCGGGCCGCTGCCATATGGATCTCGGTCCTGCTGGTCTGTTGGTCTGTCATGTGGCGCAGCAGGGAGCAGGGGAGCAGCTCCCGGGCCGACAGACCTCGAGGATTCTGAGCAACACATCCTGGGGAGCGCGGCCTCTGCTCGAGCCCGGCCTGCAGGCCCAGTGGTGGAAGGCAGGGGCCAGGCCGTGCTCCCTGTGTCCATGACTACATGGGTTTGTCTCCCTTTCTCTTTATTTTATTTTATTTTTAATTATTTATTTATTTATTTATTTATTTATTTATTTATTTATTTATTTATGATAGACATAGAGAGAGAGAGAGGCAGAGACACAGGAGGACGGAGAAGCAGGCTCCAAGCTAGGAGCCCGATGCGGGACTCGATCCCGGGACTCCAGGATTGTGCCCTGGGCCAAAGGCAGGAGCCAAACCGCTGAGCCACCCAGGGATCCCCCTTTTCTCTCTTTTTTTTTAAAGATTTTATTTATCTATTCAGGAGAGAAACACAGGGAGAGAGAGAGGACAGAGACAGAGACAGGAGAAGCAGGGTCTATGCAAGGAGCCCGATGCGGGACTCAACCCCAGGACTCCAGGACCACACCCTGAGCCAATGGCAGACTCCCAACTGCTGAGCCACTGAGGTGCCCTCGTCTTCCCTTTCTTACCGCAGCTTCTCTCCTCGCTTTCTTACAGTACTTAGGCCAGCTGACGTCCATCCCAGGATACCTGAATCCCTCCAGTAGGACTGAAATCCTGCATTTCATAGACAATGCAAAGGTAACCCCACCCTTCTGTCCCTGACCTCTGACCCCTGGCCTGTACCACCTCCTGACCCCCACCTCTGACCCTTAGTCTGCTCTAGCCCCTGACCCTGACCTCTGACCCTGACACCAGCTCCTGGTCCTCTGATCCTGGGCCTTTCACGGCTCGGGGAGGGTGACCCTGTCCCATCACAGTATGGGTGTGCTTGGCTCCTGGGCTGTAGAGACCAATCCTGTCTGAATGTGAACTTTGTGCTCCAGACTTTGCTCCTTGTGGTTTGGGCTCTTTTCAGAATTTACATTTTCAAGATGCATAAACCACATACCATAGGTCTGAATAAGAGCTGCTCCAGAGGCAGCAGAGCTCCCAGAGCCAGCGTGGCCATCCTGTAGGGACAGTGCTGGCCTGTGCTTGATGGGAGGTCCCCAGGGGCTGTGACTGGGCCGGCATTCTTGATGCACCATGCTCCCTTCCAGAGAGCCCACCAGCTCCCTGGACACCTGACCCAGGAGCACGACGCCGTGATCAGCCTGTCTGCCTATAACGTCAAGCTGGCCTGGCGAGACGGGGAGGACACCATCCTCAGGGTTCCCATCCATGACATCGCCGCTGTGTCCTATGTGCGGGACGACGCCTCACACCTGGTGATCCTGAAGACAGGTACGGATCTGGGAGGCAGGGCCGAGGGGTCCTCGGCAGGAGCAGCTTGTGTCTTTGCACGAGTGAGTCTGGGAATTTAATGGAGCTCTGGAGACAGTTTGTCCAGTGTGGGGTCAGCTGCTGCTGCCTGCTGCATCCAAGAAGGGCCCTCCTACCTGAGGTCAGCCTCAGTCAGAGGACATCAGTGACCCAGGGGTCATAAGCAGCGGGTGCTGTGCCAGGCCCTCCTGCTTGGGCCCTGCCCTTGGCCACAGGCTTCTAAGAGCTGGGTACAAAGACCAAAGCAAGCCATCGCGTTGCTCCTGGTCTGCGAGACGTTCTGAGTCAAGAGGAACCTTTTTTTCTTTTAAAGATTTATTTATTTATTCATGAAAGACACAGAGGCAGAGACAGAGGCAGAGGGAGGAGCAGGCTCCATGCAGGGAGCCCAATGTGGGACTCAATCCAGGGTCTCCAGGATCACGCCCTAGGCTGCAGGTGGCGCTAAACCGCTGCGCCATGGGGGCTGCCCCGCTGTGCTGCTTAACCCTCATTGCCCTCTATGGGCGCTGTTGGAGGATGGGCAGTATTTACATTGAACAGCGTGCAGCGGCCCAGATGTAACCATTTTATTTTATTTTATTTTATTTTTTATTTTTTTATTTTTATTTTTTTAAATTTTTTTTTTTAAAATTTATGATAGTCACAGAGAGAGAGAGAGAGAGAGAGAGAGAGGCAGAGACACAGGCAGAGGGAGAAGCAGGCTCCATGCACCGGGAGCCCGACGTGGGATTCGATCCCGGGTCTCCAGGATCGCGCCCTGGGCCAAAGGCAGGCGCCAAACCGCTGCGCCACCCAGGGATCCCCGATGTAACCATTTTAATTTTCAAAACTGGCTCAAACTGGCAGAAGGCCTGGAACATAATTACCTGGCATAACCTCCACCTGAACTGTGATGAGGACCCTGGTCTCCCACTTCCCTGATGGGGTAATGGAGTGTGGAGGTTGAGTGGCTGGCGGAGGAGCCCAGCGTGGGGAGGGCGGCCGGGCAAGTGGCAGCGCCCCTGCCACTGCCTCCCAGTGGGCCGCGGTGCCCACCCATTCCTGTACCCAGGATGGGTGGTCCTGCAGGAGGCCCGAAGTACCCATTGGGATCTGGGGGGCCACTGCCTGGGGTAGTGCAGCCTGGGGTGCATGTGCTGGGGTCCCGTCCAGCTGCCCAGGCTTCATGTGGAAGGCCTGGCTGGGAGGGCGGAGGAGACTGTGCAGACATCTCATGGAGGGTCTCTGTGGGTGTAGGAGGACGGGGGCGGGGATCCGCAGGGCCCAGGGGACAACTGGCGGGACTGTGTACCCCGCTTCTTCGACAACTGCCATGGAGCTGCTTAAAATGTGCTGGTGGCCACGTTAAAAGGAGGAAGAAGGGACGCCTGGGTGGCTCAGCAGTTGGGCACCTGCCTTCGGTCCAGGGCATGATCCTGGAGTCCCAGGATTAAGTCCCACATTGGCTCCCTGCATGGAGCCTGCTTCTCCCTCTGCCTGTGTCTCTGCCTCTCTTTCAGACTGTGTCTCTCATGAATAAATAAATAAATCTTTAAAAAAAAAAAAAAAGGAGGAAGCAGGTAAAATCAGTGTTAGTAATGTATTTTATTCAGCCCTCCGTGTCCAAAATCAGGCCCCCAGACCCGACTATCTGACCAGGATCAAGAGATGTGCTCTGCCTTTCTGGGTACTTCTTCTGAGACCTGGTGTGCTGTTGATGCTGCCCGTGTTGCCGTGTGGACCTGCCACGTCTCATGGGCTCAGGGCCTGTGGCTCAGGGCCATGGGCGGTGTGGTCCTGCGGTCTGACTGCTGCGTTTGGGGGCTCAGGGGGTGCCAGGCCCCGGTCTCTGCAGGCATACCTGTTCTGAGTTCCTGTCTCCCAGCTGCGTCTGAGCCACAGGTGTTCTCCGGGCCGACGTGGGCTTGGCCCGGGGTGCCCCAGCATCAGGGGGATTGGAGACCACTTCAGCGCCCGTGCCCCCACCCACTGAGTGCACGAGCTGGTGCTTCCGGGGGGGCGGGGGGCTCACTCCCTTCGTCCGACCAGGCAGTGTGTGGATGTTAGGAACAGGGGCCGGGCTCTCTGCCCCTCTCCCGCCCCTGGGCTTGGCTGTTGGGGCCCCCAGTCCTCAGGGTCCTTGTCTGTCAGGAGGGGTTCATGCCCATGGTTCCTGCGAGTGGAACCCTGGTTGTACCTTCTCGTGTGCAGGCCAAAAGCAGCTGAATATTGGCCTAAGTTACCCTTATCGTTAGTGGCAGGGATGCGGGAGGGCCCCGTGGGGTGGTGGTTCTCAGGGAGCAGGTGGCCAAGGAGGGTGAGGGTGACGGTGGAGGCAGGCCGCCTGCCCTGAGCCTCTGTCCGGCTCCCACACCTGCCTTGACCTGCTGCACTGTTGACTTCTCAGCCCAGGACCCTGGCATCTCCCCCAGCCAGAGTCTGTGTGCAGAAAGTTCCAGAGGCCTCACCACGGTCTCCCTGTCAGAGAGTGGAGTGGGACCTGTGGAGGCCTGCTGCCTGGTGATCCTGGCCACTGAGAGCAAGGTGAGTAGAGTGTGGGACCCAGCACCCCCCACCCCCAGTCCAGGTCCCGTCCACCACCAGGCCAGGTCCCGTCCACATGCCCAGGCCACGCCCACATTCCCTGACTCAGGCCGACCACACCACCCAGGCCCCTCCCACTCCCCATCCAGGCCACGCTCACACCCACCCAGGCCCCTCCTACCCTTCTGACCCAGACCCCGCCCACACCCAATCAGGCCCCGCCCACATCCCTATCCAGGCCCAGCCCATACCTACCCAGGTCCCTCCTACCTTTCTGACCCAGGCCCCGCCCACGCCCAGCTAGCCCCCCGCCCATACCCCATCGAGGCCCCTCCAACAACCCTCTGGGCTCCTCCCACCTGCAGGGCCCAGCCCACCACCTGCCCAGGCCCTGCTAAAGCCCCTTCCCTGCTCCCTGAGTCTGGTGCCTTCTCTTCCAGGGACCTCACCCTTTCCCCAGTGCTGATGGGGGTGGTCTCCTGCACCCCAAGCCGTGCCCTGGGAGTGGGGGGTTAGGGCTTGAGGCCCCCTTAGCTACCTAAGGGTTGCCAGCCTCCAGGAGCTTCTTGGTGCGGTTTCTGTGTAAGACTGGAGCAGGGACTCCCACCTCGGGTTCCCTTAGGTCAGTGCCCCTCCTCGGCTCTGCCCACCTTCTAGCGGGGCAGTGCTGGGGGGTGCGCTGGGCTCTTGGCCCGCCCCTGCGGACTCCTCTAGTCCCTGCCCCATATCCGGGGGCAGAGCTGCCCAGATAGGAGTCTGCCTTCACAGCGGGCCTGAAGCTGTGTGCCATGCTGGGAGCGCTGTCCCCCAGCCTGGGGCCACTGCGGGGCAGGGCGTTGGGGGGCGTTGGGGGGCCAGGTGGGCGGATACAGGAGGGCTGGCAGCTGACACACCTGGCCCCTGAAGTCCAGGGAGCCTCCCAGACATAGGCTGCTCCCCTGGGGGGCGGTGGGAGGCAATGGGCCCTCGGTTCTGGTGCTGGTTGAGCATCTGAGGAGCCAGGTGCCCAGGAAAGCTGCCCAGGAAGACCCAGCTTCGTCCCCATGGCAGGTCGCTGCGGAGGAACTGTGCTCCCTGCTGGGGCAGGTCTTCCAGATTGTGTACACGGAGTCCACCATCGACTTCCTGGACAGAGCCATATTCGACGGGGCCTCGACACCCACCCACCACCTGTCCCTGCACAGCGGTATGTGAGTGTGGGCAGACAGTCCCTGAGGTCCATGTCCCCCACCTGGTGGCTTCCTGCATCACTGTGGGGACGAGGGAACGCCTCAACGAAGGTCACTTCACCTGTTTCAGATCAGAGAGCCGGGGGCTAGGGGGTGCTGTGGGGAGGAGCCCCCAGACCTCACTGCTCTCTGATGAGGGCTTTGTCCGGGGACCGAGGCTGCCCGGGCAGTGGACGTGTGGAAGCCACCACCTTCTCTGTGTCTGTGGAGCATTTTTGGGAGGCGCCTTACTTATAGGGGTTCATTTAGTCCCCTCACCCCCTCCTCACCCCTCTCTCAGGGCCCAGTAGCCACACTGATGCTGTCCTGCTCTGTGTTGTGGGGACCTTAGGTCCTGGCCAACGTTCCCTGGGTAGCTGCTGTGGGCCATGCTTTTTGCTGGTGCGGGGGCCTCGGGCTCATGGGGGTCCTGCCTCTGTCCTTGGGGAGCAGCTGTGCTGCGTGGAGCTTGTGGGGGGGGGCGGTCACACCTGCCCGTGGTGGTGGCTTCTGCCGTCAGCACCTGCGGCCGGGCCAGTTGCAGGGGCTCTGGGATCCTGTGCCTCACCTAAAGGACACCGCAGGCGGCCACCAGGGGCGCTTTCTCATCCTTGGCCACGCTGGGGAGAGGGCCCCCCCAGCGCTCCATTTGGTGCGTTCTCCAGAGACCAGAGCATCACACAGACCGCACCGTGAGCCCTGCAGAGGAGCATGTGTGGGTGGTGCCTATGGGCCAACCTAGGAGGCCTGCAGCCCCCCTGCCGCCAGTGCCCTTGGTGGGCTCGGTGCCCTCTCCCTGTGTGACCAGGCGCCCCTGTCTCCCCACTCTGTACAGACGACTCTTCCACCAAGGTGGACGTGAAGGAGCCATATGAGACAGACCTGGGCACTTTGTGAGTACCCGCCTGCCACCCCTGCCCCCATCAGCCATGCCATCCACACTGGGCGCCCTGGCCAAACCTGGGTGCCTGTGGGGAGCCGGACGCGGGCACAGGGTGGAGGCGCGGAGCCCCGTGCCCATGGCTCCTGTCCTTGCAGCGCGTTCCCCGAGTGTGTGCACCCCGGCGGCATCTCGCCCTCGTCCTTCTGCATGCAGATGGTGCCCCACGCCAAGACAGTCAGTGAGAGCGAGTTGAGCGCCACTGCCACCGAGCTGCTACAGGACTACATGCTCACGGTGCGGCCCTGCCCTGTGGGGGGCGGGGACAGCCGAGCCTGGCCCTGGGACTTGCTGCTTAGCCAACGCGTGCCGCTGACCCTCATGTGGTTCTGCGCTAGTGCACAGCCCTGGGGGCACAGCCTGCTTGGGCTCCTTACTCGGGGTGCCGCTGGGTGGGCTGTGGGTGCGTGGTGCTGCGCTCACCCCCCACCTTCTGCTCCGCTGTCTGCAGCTGCGCACCAAGCTGTCCTCCCAGGAGATCCAGCAGTTCGCGGCGCTACTGCACGACTACCGCGACGGGGCGTCTGTGCACGAGTTCTGCATCAACCTGCGTCAGCTGTATGGGGACAGCCGCAAGTTCCTGCTGCTCGGTGAGTCTGAGGCGGCGTGGCTGCAGTGTGGGGGTTCTGGCCAGAGACCAGAGCTCGCCGGTGGGAGCCAGACTGCGGGGAAGCCAGGGGCTGATGCCCCGGAATGAGGGCCAGGGTGGGGCTCCCCAGAGGAGACGGCACCCGAGAGGGTTTTGGTGGGTGGCCAGGAGTTTGACAGGCAGAGAAGTGGACCCCATTACTGGGTGGAAAGACCGGCCTTGGCTGAGAGCTGGGCCCTGAGAAATGAGCACCATGGTGCAGCTGGGTAGCCAGGGTGGCCAGGACCCCACACACCTGCCCCCACCCTTGAGGATGGTGGCGCGGCTGTGTGTCCTGTGTGCAGAGCCTGGGGAACTCGGCTGGCTGACGGTGGCTGTTGGAGGCTCCGGCTCTGCTCCCCAACCTCCACCGAGGGTGGGTTTATACCCTTGTCAGCCGCCACCCAAGGGCTCTCTGCTCATGGGGCTCTAGGGCTTGCCGTGCTGTGTCCAGTTTGAGCTCTTGGTGACCCTGTGACCTCTCCGCCAGGGTCCGTCGTGTGGTCAAGGCTTGGGTCCGAGGGCCCCGCCCCGTGTTCCTTTCTGTGTTGTTGTCCCGTAGAAGCGGGCGGTGCCCAGTGGTTGGCCTGCGCCCTCTGCTCTGTACTCCAGGGCCTGTGGGTGGGGCTCCGCCAGGACCAAGGGAGGGACATGCAGCCCCCTGTTCCCCGGCCCAGCCCCCCAGAAGCATGGCATCCAGCACACCCTGTGTCCTCAGGTCTGCGGCCCTTCATCCCGGAGAAGGACAGCCAGCACTTCGAGAACTTCCTTGAGACCATCGGGGTGAAGGATGGCCGAGGCATCATCACTGACAGCTTCGGCAGGTACCGGCGGGCCCTGAGCTCCGCCTCCACCTCCACCTGCACTGGGAACAGGACCACAGGCAGCTCCGACGACCAGTCCGCACCCTCAGAGGGGGACGAGTGGGACCGCATGATTTCGGATATCAGCAACGACATCGAGGCTCTGGGCTGCAGCATGGACCGGGACTCAGCCTGATGGCGCCGGGAAGGGCCCGCCGGCGCTCCCTCTACTGTGAAGGACCTGCCCCGGGGCGCTGGTGCCCGTGGCCCCCTCCGGGAGGGCTCCCGGGGGTCCTTTCGGTTTTGCACACGACGATGCTGTCGAAACTCTCAGAGACCTTCAAACAAGTTTACCGCCATGTGAATGATTCATTTCTGGTCCCAGCGTGCTTCTGATCTTGCGGGTGGGAGCCGGGCAGCAGACGCAGGGGACGGCATTGGGGTTTTCCTTTGAAAATGCAGGGTGGGCAGCGGGTGACCTGGGCCCTGGTGCGAGTGTGGGTCCTCGTCCTCCCAAGGACGCCTGGCCTCCTGCTCCTCGATGAGTCCCCCTTGCTCCGTCTGCCAGCACAGGTGCTCTCCACTGTACCCGGACCCCCACCCCCACCCAGAGCACGGGTCCCCCTCCCCACCCAGCACGCCCAGGGTCCTGGGCTCGGTGGGGGCGCGCAGGGGCACTGTGTTCTAGGCCTTCCCTGGGCTGGGCCCCTGCTGTGCTCTTGGCACCTGGGGGACCAGAGGGTGCGTCTGGCCTGGGAGACCCCCAGCAGCATGTGTGGGAGCCCTGGGCTGAGCAGGGTGGGTGTGGGGGCCCCGGGGCAGGAGGACAGAGGCCGTGTGGGGCCGGTGGCAGGTGCGGATGGGAGGAGAAGCCCCTCACGTGGCTCTGGCCACAGCCCCCCCGGGAGCTGGCAGTGGGCCCAGGCTGGCAGGGCTAGGGCCCGTGCAGTGGCTCTCTGGATGTGAGCCAAGACCCCTGGCCCTCCTGCCCTGGGAGCATCTGGAACGGCCAAGGCGGGCAGGCCTGGCCAGGCCCTCCCCAGCCACCCTCGGTCTCGGGCTGCAGCGGGGCGGTAGCAGTGGGGCCGCATCCTGGGGCCTGGCCCGCATGTCCTGTGTGGATGGCAGGGACCGCCTCGTCCCCTCCAGGGGTGCCTTTCCCACTCAGCGGATCTCTGGACTTCAGAGAAGAGGGAATATGGAGGGGATGGATGGCCCCTCCACAGCTGGGCGTCAGGAGGGCTCCCAACAAATGCCTCTCCGTGGCTAGAGCCCTAGAGCCCCTGGTTCTGGGGAGTCCCTTTCCGAAGCCAGTCCCCAGGCCCACGCCCTGGGCCACAGCCACGGGACAGTCTAGTCTCTGGGCAGGTGGGGCACCGAGGTCCTGGGGTGGGGAGGGTGAGGACCCCCACCCTCCAGGGACCTTACGTGAACCCCCACATACTGGAGACACGGGACAGATCCCACCCTCTGGAGACATGGTGGGGGCCAGAGCCCCGCCCTCTGGGGACCAGGAGGAGAGCCCCCCACTCTGGGACACATGGGGACAGATCCTGCCCTCTAGGGACAAGGAGGAAGAACCCCCCCCCACTCAGGGACAGGTGGGGACAGAGCCCCGCCCTCTGGGGACGAGGAGGGCCCCCCCCACTCGGGGACTGGTGGGGACAGCCCTGCCCTCTGGGGACAAGGAGGAGGACACCTACCCCTAGGGACCCGGATTGCCCCCGGCCTGGGTTGGGATCGCCCGCACCCTCCGGCGCCCGGGGACAGGCCCCCCTGACCCTCCAGGGGCCCCACCATGAGTCCCCTGAGACCCGAGCGAGCCCGGAAGCAGGAGCAGAGCAGAGGCTGAGGGGACACACCCGTTTATTGAGCAGCAGAGCCGGGGGCGGGGACAGGGCCGGTGGTCGGTGGCAGTCGGTAGCGGTGGGTGGCGGTCGCAGCTACATGGTGAGCTCCTGCGGGAGGGTGCAGAAGTGCGGGCTAAGAGGGGGCCCAACAGGGTGGGCGGCAGGGCTGAGGGTGGCCACTCACCATGATGGCGTTGACGATGTCACTCTGGTTGTCCCGCAGAGCCCGCACAGCCCTGGCCCTCGACACGTTGGCTTGTGCCATCACCAGCTCGATGTCCCGGAGCTCCAGGCCCGCCTCATCCACCTGGATGGGGGCAGGCGGGCAGGTTCCAGGGCTGCCGCCCCCCGGAAGGCCCCAACCCCCCACCCCCCACCCCGCGGTGCCCCAGCCTCACCTCCTCCTCCTCTTCCTCCTCCTCCTCCTCCTCCTCTGGCCTCCGCAGCGGCCCCGGCGTAGACTCAGGCACCAGGGCTGATGGCTCAGTGGGTACCTTGAACTTCTCGGCAGCAGCCCTGTGCACTTGCTGCGACAGGTCCTCGATCTGCAGGGAGGGCACAGCGGTCAGGCCGGCCCCCGGCCCCCACCCCCCCCACCCCCCCACCCCTACCAGACCTTGGCCTCCCCGAAGACCACATAGGTGTCGGAGGCTGGGCTCTTGAAGACGTCGGGCTTGGCGATGACAAACAGGATGTTCTTGGACTTCTGGATGGTGATCCTGGTGACCCCCTGGATTTGCCGCAGGCCCAGCTTGGACATCGCCTGGGGACACGGCAGGCTCACCCTGGGCACTGGGGGGGGGTCCCAGGCCGAGGCGGGAAGGAGCCGGCCCCGAGGGGTGGCAGCATCCCGGCAGGGGCTGAAGCCTCTCCCGCCAAGTCTGGGGGCCCCTCTGTGGGCTCTGGGCAAGCCGGGGACACTGGCCCCCAGGGACAGTGGGGTGCCGGGTGTACCATCTCCATGGAGGCTCTGGCCCTAGCGCCTCCACTGCCCAACAGCCTCACTGGTGGCATCATCAGCCCCTGGGGGTGAAGGGTCCCCTCCTGCACCCTCCCCAGCGGCCCCACGGCCCCCCCCACCTTCCGGGCCTTCTTCTCACTGCGACTCTGCTTGGCTTTGGCCACGGTCTCTTCGCTGCCACCGGTTGCGGGTGCCTGGGGAGGACGGGGTTTGAGGAACTGAGGGCGGGGCATCAGGGAGCCCTCCCAGGGGTGTCCCCTTCCCCCCCGGGCCGGGCACCTGGGCTGGGCACTGCGCCGGCTGTACCCCCGAGGCGTCGTGCTCCTCCGGCTCTGCTGACGACTCCCCATGGCTGTCCGAGTGCGGGCCGGATCCTGGGGCCCTGGGGGGCGAGTCTGGGTGCGGGGGGTGGGGGGGATGAGGACGGCCGCAACCCGGGCCCCCACCTGCCACCCGCGGTCCCTGCTCCGGACAACTTGCCGCCCGGCCTCACCTTCCTCTGGGCTGTCCTGGTCAGCCTGCTGCCTGGTGGCGGGGGGGCCCCGAGGCCCAGGAGGCACTTGGCAGGGGGGCGCGGTCCGCCAGGCCCGGTCTTTGGCATGGGTGTCCCCCGCCGGGGCTATCCTGGGGCCAGGGAGGGCGGCAGGGGGTGGGAGGCCCCCCCTCGGCCCAGCCCCGAGAGGTCCCGGGGTCCCTGAGAGGGCGGCTGGTGCCTGCGGGGTGCCCGCCAGGGGCTCCCCGGCCTCCGAGTCTTCCCTGAGGCCCCGGCAGGGGCAGGAGGCGCCGAGGACCCCGGGGCTCAGGGCTGCCTCTGCGGGGCCCCCGGGGGTGCAGGGCTCGCGGGCCAGGGCCCGGCTGGGGCTTCTGGCAACCGCGCTGCCGCCCCGGGGCTCCCGCGGATCCCCCGTGCCCTCTCCCCGCCGCCAGAGCCTGGCGCGGGCTCCTGCCCGGAGGCTGCGGGCGGGCTGGGCACTGGCTCTGGGCGGCAGCCGCCCTCCGGCCTCGGCCCCACCTCCGCAGCGCCGGGACACCGGGGCCAAGCCGTGGGATGCGCCCCCGGGCCACGCTGCCCCGCAGCCTTCCCGGCTCCCTGGGGGACCGGCTCCAGGCCGCGCGCCCCTGGACTCTCACCCCCTGGGGCCTCCCCCGGGGCCGAGCGGGGCTCAGCTCGGGCTCCAGCGCGCACACGGGCACCGGGACGGCTTCCCTGCTCGGGCGCCGGGGGACCCTCCGCTGCTTCCTCCCGGGCAGAGGCAGCCTTCGGTGGGTCCCGGGCTTCCGCCGCAGCCCCTGGGCACTCCGGGACCTCTGGGGCTGACGCTAGCTGTTCTGGGGCCTCCGTGGCAGGTTCTGGATGTTCTGGGGCCTCCGTGGCAGGCTCTAGGCATTCTGGAGCCTCTGTGGCAGGCCCTAGGCATTCTGGAGCCTCTGTGGCAGGTTCTGGATGTTCTGGAGCTTCCATGGCAGGGTCCGAATGTTCTGGGGCTTCCATGGCAGATTCTGGATATTCTGGTGCCTCCGTGGAAGGCTCTGGATGTTCTAGAGCCTCGGTGGCAGGCTCCGGGTGTTCTGGGGCCTCTGTGGCAGGCTCCGGGTGTTCTGGGGCCTCCATAACAGGTTCTAGATGTTCTGGGGCCTCCATGGAAGGCTCTGGACGTTCTAGGGTCTTGGTGATAGGCTCCAGGCATTCTGGGGCCTCTATGGCAGGTTCTGAGTGTCCTGGGGCCTCCATGGAAGGCTCCAGGCATTCTAGGGTCTTGGTGGCAGGCTCCGGGCATTCTGGGGCCTCCGTGTCAGGTTCTGGATGTTCTGGGGCCTCCATGGAAGGTTCTGCACGTTCTAGGGCCTTGGTAGCAGGTTCTGGATGTTCTGGGGCCTCCATGGAAAGCTCTGGATGTTCTAGGGCCTTGGTAGCAGGTTCTGCATGTTCTGGGGCCTCCATGGAAAGCTCTGGATGTTCTAGGGCCTTGGTAGCAGGTTCTGGATGTTCTGGGGCCTCCATGGAAGGCTCTGGATGTTCTAGGGCCTTGGTAGCAGGTTCTGGATGTTCTGGGCCTCCATGGAAAGCTCTGGATGTTCTAGGGCCTTGGTAGCAGGTTCTGGATGTTCTGGGGCCTCCATGGAAGGCTCTGGATGTTCTAGGGCCTCAGTGGCAGGCTCCGGGCATTCTGGGACCTCCGCGGCAGGTTCTGGATGTTCTTGGAGCTTGGTAGCAGGTTCTGGATGTTGTGGGGCCTCCATGGAAGGCTCTGGATGTTCTAGGGCCTCAGTGGCAGGCTCCAGGCATTCTGGGACCTCCGCGGCAGGTTCTGGATGTTCTTGGAGCTTGGTAGCAGGTTCTGGATGTTGTGGGGCCTCCATGGAAGGCTCTGGATGTTCTAGGGCCTCGGTGGGAGGCTCTGGGCATTCTGGGGCCTCCGTGGCAGGTTCTAGGTGTCCTGGGGCCTCCATGGAAGGCTCCAGGCATTCTAGGGCCTTGATGGTGGGCTCCAGGTATTCTGGGGCCTTGGTGGCAGGCTCTGGGCATTCTGAGGTCTCTGTGGCAGGTTCTAGATGTTCTGGGGCCTCCATGGAAGGCTCCAGGTGTTCTAGGGCCTCAGTGGCAGGCTCCGGGTGTTCTAGGGCCTCCACGGAAGGCTCTGGATGTTCTAGGGCCTTGGTGGCAGGCTCCGGGCATTCTGGGGCCTCTTTGGCAAGTTCTGGATGTTCTGAGGCCTCCGTGGAAGGCTCCAGGCATTCTAGGACCTCAGTGACAGGCTCTGTGCATTCTGGGGCCTCCATGGCAGGTTCTGGGTGTCCTGGGGCTTCCATGGAAAGCTCCAGGCATTCTAGGGCCTCCGTGGCAGGCTTTAGGCATTCTGGGGCCTCCGTGGCAGATTCTGGGTGTCTTGGGGCCTCCATGGAAAGCTCCAGGCATTCTAGGGCCTCGGTGGCAGGCTCTGGGCATTCTGGGACCTCCGTGGCAGATTCCGGATGTCCTGGGGCCTCCATGGAAAGCTCTAGGCATTCCAGGGCCTCAGTGGCAAGCTTTGGGCATTCTGGGGCCTCCGTGGCAGGTTCTGGGTGTCTTGGGGCCTCCATGGAAAGCTCCAGGCATTCTAGGGCCTCAGTGGCAGGCTCCAGGTGTTCTGGGGCTGCCATGGCAGGTTCTGGATGTTCTGGGGCCTCCATAGAAGGCTCCAGGCATTCTAGGGCCTTGGTAGCAGGCTCTGGGCATTCTGGGGCCTCCATGGCGGGTTCTGGGTGTTCTGGAACCTCCATGGAAAGCTCCAGGCGTTCTAGGGCCTCAGTGGAAGGCTCCGGGTGTTCTGGGGCCTCCGTGGCAGGTTCTGGGTATCTTGGGGCCTCCATGGAAAGCTCCAGGAGTTCTAGGGTGTTGGTGGCAGGCTCCGGGTGTTCTGGGGTCGCCATGGCAGGTTCTGGGTATTCTGGGGCTTCCATGGAAAGCTCCAGGCATTCTAGGGCTTCGGTGGCAGGCTCCGGGTGTTCTGAGGCCTCCGTGGCAGGTTCTGGATGTTCTGGGGCCTCCATGGAAGGCTCTGGGCATTCTAGGGCCTCGATAGCAGGCTCTGGGTGTTCTGGGGCCTCCATGGCAGGTTCTGGGTGTCCTGGGGCCTCCATGGAAAGCTCCAGGAGTTCTAGGGTCTTGGTGGCAGGCTCCAAGTGTTCTGGGGCCTCCATGGAAGGCTCCGGGTGTTCTGAGGCCTCCGTGGAAGGCTCTGGGTGTTCTAGGGCCTCGATAGCAGGCTCTGGGTGTTCTGAGGCCTCCATGGCAGGTTCCGGGTGTCCTGGGCCCTCCATGGAAAGCTCCAGGAGTTCTAGGGTCTTGGTGGCAGGCTCCAAGTGTTCTGGGCCTCCATGGAAGGCTCCGGGTGTTCTGAGGCCTCCGTAGAAGGCTCTGGGTGTTCTAGGGCCTCGATAGCAGGCTCTGGGTGTTCTGGGGCCTCCATGGCAGGTTCTGGGTGTCCTGGGGCCGCCATGGAAAGCTCCAGGTGTTGTAGGGCCCTGGTGGTAGGCTCCGGGTGTTCTGGGGGCTCCGTGGCAGGCTTGGAGGGGCCTGCAGTTCCCCATGAGGCCCAAGGTGCCCCCGTGTCTGCAGCTGGCTCCAGGCCATCCAGCTGGACCTGCTCCCAGGCCGGAGGCTCTGTGTCCCTCTGCTCACATGCTGGCCTCAGCCCCAAGGTCACTTGTCCTTCCTGCCGGGCTGCAGTGGCCACAGGCTCCATCCATGGTGTGCAGCCTGCATCCGTCTGCAGGTCTGGAGCTTGGCCTCAGCGGCGGGTCCCCGGCCCAAGGGGAAGCCCGCGACCTGCAGGGGTAGGGGCGGGGCCGCAGACCCAGGGTCTGGGCCCGCCCGTCTCTCCAGGTGCTGCAGAGAGTCGGGGCTTGGTGGGAGGGCCCCCACTGCTGGGGCAGTCTGGGGCTCTGGGCCTAAGGCCGTGTGCTCATCCCCCTGCAGGGACTGAGCTTCGCCCGCGGCAGCAGGCCCCCGACCCAGAATGGAGCCCAGCGCCTGCCCCCAGGCCTGAGTGGTCACCCCCGTGAGATCCGGGGCTTCCTGCGGGGTGTGAGGGGCCTCGGCCGCAGCGCATGCCTGGCCTGAGCCCTGGCCTGGCCCGGCGACCTTGGCACCCGGGGCCTGGCGCCCGGTGGCTCGGCTGGCCTCTTCCTCGCAGATCGCGGGAGCAGGCTCGCCAGGGCTGTCGTGGAGCAGGTCCGCGGGCCGTGCGTGGGGCTCCTCGCTGTACAGCCTCTCGTCATCTGCCCCCGCGTAGGAGGCTGAGTCGGGGTCGGAGGAGGCCGCTGAGGTGTCGTCCCGGAAGGCAAAGGCCTCGTCCATGCCCTCGGTGATGGAGAGATCGGACAGGGACTGCAGGGAGGAGGCGAACGTGCTGTCGTCCTCGCCCTCCCCAGCAGCATCCCCTCCAGGGACAGAGGCCTCTTCCTCCTCCTGTTCCTCCTCTTCCTCCTCCTCGGGGGCCCTTGGTGTCACCTCCACGGCCTCCACCTGGAAGATGAGGCTGCCCCGGAAGGGCAGGAGGGCGGCGGGGATCATGGGGTCGTTGGCCAGGAAGTCCAGCTCGAAGAAATGGGCCTCCTGGCCCCAGGAAGAGCTGCTGTCGGCTGAGATGCTGGACTCCGGGGATGGGGGGCCGGGGGGCCCCGTGTAGGGCAGCTCCTGCTCATCTGCCACAGACCCCTGTGGGGAGAAGCCCCAGCCCGAGGGGACATCCAGCCCTTCGGCCGGGGCCAGCAGGCTCAGGGAGCAGGACGGGGACGAGGCCCAGCTGTCCCCATCTGCCGTGATATAAGAGCCCGAGGGCGAGGCAGGTGGCGAGTCCCCTGGCTCCGCCGGGGCGTCCCGGGCATCCCTGCGGGGCCCGGGGCCAAGGAGCAGGGCAGAGGCGGTCTCGGTGGGGGTGGAGGGCGGCGTGAAGTAGGACTCAGGGTCTGGGACAGGGCAAGGCACAGGAGGGTCACCCTGAGAACACAACGCGGGGGGTGGGTTCAGGCTGGGGTGCCCACCCTCCCGGTCCCTGAGCTCTGGCAGGGCTGCCCTGGGCAGCAGGGGCACCCGGAGGGTCTCCTCGCCCATCACGATCCGGGGCTCCAGGGTGGCTGGGGGAGGACCCCTGGCGGGCCGGGCCTCGGGGGGGCCCAGGTTAGGGCTGCCTTCTGCGGGGACTGCCCAGGCTGAAGGGGTGCCGCTCGGCCCTGCATCCCAGCTGGCTCCCTCTGGCGGGGGCCGGGTACCCGGCTTGCTGGGCAGAAACTCCAGGGCCAGGGCGCTGGGTCCGGGGGTCAGGGCACAGTGCTCCAGCCGGTCCCCTCTTGGGGTGGTGGCTGCGGCCACATCACAGGACGACTCTGTGGAAAGAGAGGGCCATGAGGAGGGAAGACATCCTCGGGGAGCCAAAGAACCTCTGGGAGCCCGAACCCAAGGGGACAGCCTGGGGCCGGGGGGTGGGGTGGTGTCTGAGGCTCGGCAGGCAGGGGGCTAGCACCTGTCTCCACCAACACCGGCTGGCTGGCCCCCTGCCCGCAGTCTGTGCTGGGCTCGGCTGGTGACCTCTCTGACCTGCATCAGAAGCTCCCAGGGGAAGGGCACTTGCACCCCGCTGGCTCTGGAACACTCTAGGTGTCACACCTCCCGTGCACAGGGGTCTCACCTCCCTGCCTCAGCTCCCTCCCTGCTGCCCACACCGGAGGCCAGCCTCTCAGGGAGCCATCCGGCTCTGCCCTGGGTTCCAGCTGCCGGGCTGGTGCAGAGGAGGGGAGGCAGGGCCACCGCGGGTGTGTCCTCAGGCCACGGGTCCCACGGAGGCTGAGCTGCAGGGGTTGGTGCTGGCAGTGACGGGATTTGTGGGAAAGAGGGCAGCTGTGGGCGTGGGCCCTGGGGGCTGCGGGATCATGAGACTGGCCAGGCCTCTTCATGGTGGCAGCGGCCCCAGGGCTGTGGGTCCCAGGGCTGCCTAGACCCTGACTCTGTTCTTGGGGAGGTTCCTGCTCTATCATGTTCACCCTCGGTCACCCCACAGAGACCTCTTGGCCTCAGGGGTCTGTCTGCAAAGCCGAGTATCTGATTAGAGGTGAAGCTTTTAGGAAGGGGCAGCGTCCTGCCCCCTTGGGCCCCCTGCTGGGATTCAGAGAGGCCAGGGGGGTCTTGAGAAGAGGGTCCTTCGGGCCACTGCAGCGTGCCATACACCCAACGCCCGGAGGTGGGTGTGGTGGGTGGGGTGGGGTGGACACAGGCTCTAGGTGCTGAGCCTGTGGTACCCTTGCCCGCCTGCCCTGGGGCGGGGAGAGGCCAGAGCCAGGCCAAGGGAGGTGGTGAAGGGAAGCCAAAGGTCAAAAGGTTTTTGTAAGCACCCAAGGTCATCAAGCAGCCTGAGCAGAGCCAGCCTGAGATGCTGGGTCTGGGCAGGCACAGCCTCCACCCACTTTACCGGAGGCCAAAGGGGGCCAGGGCCCCGGCCCAGTGCTGTGCTGGTCAGTGACACTGCCAGGTGATATGCGCAGGGCTTGGTGCCCTTGGCCCTCCAGGAGTCACCGCTGACCTCCTGCTGGGCCACCCTGGTCCTTCCAGACCTGGGCAGACGCCTCCACTCCGCCGACACTTGCTGAGCTAGCATCTCCAAGGCTGCGGGCACTGCCCCCGCCCTCGGGGACCGGCCCCCTGGCCACCCCAGGCGCCAGCTCCAGCCCCGTTGCTCCTTTCAAGACCCCAGTCGCTGGCCGCGGGCGGCTGCAGCATCTAAAGGGCGAGTCCCCGGCGGGGCTGGGGGAGAGGCTGAGAACCCCTCGCCTCTGGTCCAGAGCCTCAGGCCTGCCTGGCCCGCAGCTCCTCGCAGACAATGGGGCCGCGGAGCCTGGAGGGCGGGCTACGGGCCTGAGCCACGGGCCCCCGGGATGCTCGCAAGCCCCCCCTGCCCTTCCCGCAGTCCAGAGCTGGGCCTGGAAGGGGTCAGGGGAAGGGGTCAGGATGGCTGGGAGCGCAGGCCGAGACCAGACGGGGGTGGGGGCTGGGGGGGCGGAGCGGACCGGCCGGGGACGGGGACCCAGGGGCAGGGGCAGGGCCGCCGACAGGATCGCAGGGGCCCAGCCCGAGGCCTCACCTGTTTGGGGGCCCGGCCCGCCCGCCTCCGGCAGCAGCGGTTCAGCGCGCGCGGCCTCCCCGGGCATGGCCTGGCCGTGCGCCCGTCCCTCGGCGCCCGCTCCGTCCGCGTGTCCGTCCGGCGGAGCCTGCGCGGCCGCCGCCCCTCGGCCGGGGAGTAGGGGGGAGGCCAGCGGCTGACGTCACGCCGCCCCGCCCGCCTGGCGCCCCGGAGGAGCGTGCGCCTGCGCCCCAAGCACTGCGGAGCGCAGCGGGGGTGCGGGGCCCCCTCCCCGCCCGGCGGCGCCCTCCGGCGGCGCCCTCCTCCGCCGCCGCGCCGCCGCGCCTTTCCCGCGGCATTCCTCCCCGATCGCGAGGGGCCCGGGCCGGCCGGAGGCTGGGCGGACCCCAGGGAGCATCACCCGAAGCCGGCTCTGCGGGGGGGGGCGGGCGGGCGCGCGGGCGCGGGGCAGGTGGCGGCGCGGTCCCGGGGCCCGGCCTCCCGCGCCCCCGCCTCCATCCCGGAGGTGAGCTGGAGCCGCAGCTCCCTGCTGATTGGCCGGTCGTCGCACGTCGGTCTCCGTGGCAACCGCCTCCCGGCTCCATGGAAACCGGACGGGAGCCGGCGCGGCTGGAGCGCGGGGAAGGCAGCCCCCGGGGAGCAGGGCGGACGGTCCGCGCACCCCGAACCCCGCTCCCGGGCTCCCCCGGGCTCCCGGCGGAGGAAGAGGAGCGCCACGCCTTCCTGGGCCTGGGCCGCCGCCCCCCCTCCCCTCCCCAGCACCCCCAGCCTCCCCCGCCCCGCCTCCCGCGCTCGCACCCGCCCAGTGCCAGGCTCCGGCTCCGCGAGACACAGGAACATTGTGCCCCCCGAGCTGGGCGGCGGCAGGGAATCAGAGCGCTCATTGTGGCGGCGGCGGCGGCGGCGGCGGCGGGCGGGGGCGGGGCGTCTCCCCAACCCTGTCTCCTGCGGCCACCCGGGCGCCCACCCCCGGCCCTGCACCCTGCACCCCCCAGCCGCTGATGGAGCGTCTCTCCCCTGCTGGGGACCCTCTGCATCCACCTTCATTCTCGCCTTCCGGTTGCCTCTCCCCACAGCCCGGCTGCCCTGGCAGAGACCTTCATGCTCCCTCTGCTCTGCGCACCGCGACCACCCGGCCCGCACCAACCTCCCAGAAACCAAAAGCCCTTCCGTGTGCCCCGAGGGGCTTCTGGTCTGGGCAGGGTGGCCTCGGCTTGTCTGCTCTTCCTGACAGTAGACACAAGACACACAATCCCAACACAACTCTCACACACGAAGAGTGAGGTGATGTGGCGAGGGTCCCCAGGGCTGCAGGAACAGCCTGTCAGCCCTGCTGACATAAGGGGCCCTTGACCACGTTTCCGGGCCCCAGTCTGCTCCCAGGAGGAGGACCAGACGGACATATTCATCCCCATGTGGGGCTGGAGTCCCACTGACAATTCTAGGAGGGTCAGGGGGAGGCCCGCTCCTTCCCCACCGGGATCATCCGCCCCTCTGCCCCACTGAGAAGCCCCAAGGCTAGGGGTGGTGTGGTAGCACTGGCTAGGGGGAGCCCACAGCAGGCTTTCAGCCCAGGAAGTACTCCTAGGGCCCAGGATGGCCCAGCAGGGACTATTGTCACTGGAGCCACAGGCCACTAGAGTAGCACAGACAGGATGGACCTGCTGAAATAAAAAATCTGAATGTAATAGCCTGACTGTTCAGGAGGCAATACAAAAAATCACCTGTCACGCCAGAAAGATCAAGGAAGAATCCAAGACCCAGGAAGGTCACAACTAGAATAAGAAAAAGTAATCAACTGATGCCAAAACTAAGGTGAAGATGCTGGAATTACCTGATAAGGATTTTAAATCAGCCATCATGGAAGCGGTGCCATGCGAAATAAGTTTCTTTTGGAGCAAATGGAAAATGTCAGCAAAGAAACAGACATTATGAAATGGAAACAAACCAAGATCACGGAACGATATAGAATCACTGAAAGGAAGCACTTGCTGAGCAGTTTATCAGTGGCCAGAGATGACAGAGGACATCCAAGTGAGGCTGGGATGGGTCCACAGAATGTACTCAACTGAGTAATAACAACAAGAAAGATGTTGGGCAAGAGAGGCTGAGGACCGTGCGGGGTGACAACATAAGACCCTGCTCATGTACCTGGAGTCCCAGAAGAAGAGCAGTAAAGAGGGCGGTTGAAGAGTATTCAGACGTGATGGCTGAAACTCCCCAAATAGGCAAAAGATAGAAACTTACAGATGCAAGAGCTGAGGGACGGTCAAATATGATACATCCAAGGAAATTCACATCCAGACACTTGACCTCTAACTTGTGAGCACTGGGGACAAAGTCACAGCAGTGGCCAGAGAGAACACAAAACCCATGGGGACTGCCAAGGAGAACCGCAGCGCGCTTCTGGTCCAGAGCCAGAGGCCAGGAGGAAGCTGCGACAGGCCTTCAAGTGTTGAAAGCAAGGCTCATGGGAGAAGGCAGGCGCACAGGAAGGAATGGGAAGTGTGCTCTGAGGGAGGGGGCGCTGGAGGCTCCAGCACCAGCAGAGCACCCCACAAGCCTGGGAGGGCGAAAAGAGTACAGGAAGGGCAGAGGGATGGGCACAATGATGGGCACTCCTCCTCCTCCTGAGTGCCCGGTGGCATGTGTGACCACTGAAACAAACGAGAACTCCAGCTGACACTCGACAGGATTCTTAAAAGCAGCGATGGCAAAGGGACCGACATGGAAGCAGTGTGCACATGTGACCCAAAGTGTACATGCTGCTGGGAGCAGACTGGGGGGACCTCACATGAGTGTGTCTCTACACCCAGAACAGCCGTTAAGACTGTACAAGATGACACCCCAAACCACTATATGTAAGTCAAAATAGGGTCCTTTAAAATGTTCAGAGTCCACAGCGGGGGAGCCTGGGGGGCTTAGACGGTGGAGCGTCTGCCTTCAGCTCTGGTCATGATCCTGGGGTCCTGGGATCGAGCCCCATGTCAGGCTCCCTGCTCAGTGGGGAGTCTGATTCTCCCTCTCCCTCTGCCCCTCTCCCCCCTGCTTGTGCTCTCTCTCAAATAAATAAATAAAATGTTTATTTTATTTTTTTAAGATTTTATTTATTTATTCATGAGAGACAGAGACACACACACACAGAGAGAGAGAGAGAGAGAGGCAGAGACACAGGCAGAGGGAGAAGCAGGCTCCATGCAAGGAGCCTGATGTGGGACTCGATCCCAGGTCTCCAGGATCATGTCTTGGACTGAATGCTAAACCTCTAAGCCATCGGGGCTGCCCAAAATATTTATTTTTTTTTAAAGATTTTATTTATTTATTCATGAGAGCCACACAGAGAGAGAGGCAGAGACAGGCAGAGGGAGAAGCAGGCCTGACGAGGGACTTGATCCTGAGTCTCCAGGACCACGCCCTGGACTGAAGGTGGCGCTAAACCGCTGAGCCACCCGGGCTGCCCAAATGTTTATTTTTAAAAAAATATTTTACTTAGGGGTGCCTGGATGGCCCTAAATAAATGTTTAAAAATAAATGTTCAGGGATGCCTGGGTGGCTTAGCAGTTGGGCACCTGCCTTCAGCTCACGATGAAGGAGCACCTCCTAACTCATTTCCTGAAGCAAAATTAAAACCAGGCAGAGTATCAGAAACAAACAAGAAACCACAGCCCAACCTCTCCCACAAACTTAGGCACAAACATTCTCAGTAAAATATTGGCAAATAAAATCTGACATTGTATAAAAAGAAATAGACACCCCTCAGCAGATGGATTTTTTTTCCAGGTGTGCACGGGCCGTTCAACATTTAAAATCACTTGTGTCATCCGCCATACCAACAAGCTAAAGAAGAGAAGTTACGTGACCATATTGAGTGACACAAGACACATCTGACATAACCCAACAGCCGTCCAGAGTGTAGAAACCTTCTCAGCAGGTTAAAATCAAAGTGATGAAGATCACTTGCAAAAGCCTTAAAGCCAACAGTGCGTGGTGGTGAAAGACTGCTCTCGGAGGCCGAGGCAAGACATGGATACCTGTTGCCCCCTGGGTTCAACACGGGGCTGCGGATCCTAACCCACAGTGAGGCAAGAAAAGAATTAAGGGCTGCCAGACTTCCAGAATGGAAGCAGTTTCACTGGCCAGCTTCCCAGCGAAACTGGTGGAAACTACATGACCGTTAAAACTTCTGGAAATGCTCTGATGGGCAAACAAATGAAGAAAAGCACTATTCAAGAGAATTGGTGCAAAGTTTTTTTTTTTTTAAAGATTTATTTATTTTAAAGAGGGGGGAAAGCACAAGTGCACATGGAGGGGCAGAGGGAGAGAACCTCAAGCAGATTGTGCACTGAGTGTAAAAGCCTGATGTGGGGCCCGATCTCACCACCCTGAGATCACAAACTAAGCTGAAACCAAGAGTTGGACGCTTCACCAACTGAGCCACGCAGAGGCCCTGAGTTAAGAAAGCAGAGAGTCAGTGTTATTTGAGCCAAGCTGCTCCCTCCCTCCCTTCTCCTCTCCCCAAGGTACAGAACCCATCTAACTGCCAAGAACACAGGGGCCCAGGTCACTTAGCATTTCTTTCTTTTTTTAAAAAAATATTTATTTATTTATTGATGAGAGAGAGAGAGAGAGAAGCAGGCTCCACGCCAGGAGCCCAATGCGGGACTTGATCCCGGGACTCCAGGATCGCGCCCTGGGCCAAAGGCAGGTGCCAAACCGCTGAGCCACCCAGGGATCCCCCACTTAGCATTTCTTATCCTGTCCTGACCCCTGCTGCTGAGGCTGAGTTCCAGGCAAGTGTGATCAAGGCGGGGCTCCCTTCCTCTTTAGCCCCCACTTGTGGGAGACCTTCCCTTGGGCCTGGCACACCATGCCAGCCTGGCGACCCCTCTTGCACCCCAAAGCCGTGGTTCCACTCCAGAAGAGGCTGCTGTCCCCCTCCACTGAGTGCTCAGCTCCCAGGCTGGGGGTGCCTCTCATAAGCTTGCTTTGAGTCCTGGCTGAGAATTTGCCAGGCCCTAAAGTGGACAGCTCCCAATCTCTTCCCATAGGAGTGGACTTCCCTTGCAATAAAGCTCAGGCAAGTGTTGACCCAAGAGTGTCCTCAGGACAGTGGACGTTGTGGTCAAAGGCATTTGGGAGGAGATTCACAGAGCCAGTGAAGCCACTGCCTAGACAGCAGGCCAGGGTGACTGTGGGCATACCCACGCCCCCACCCCCACCCCCCGAGGTGCAACACGGAAGGGGAAAGGAGCAGACTCACCAAAAGAGGCTAGCCAGTCCCCAAGCAAACAAGCACATAACAGTAACACGTCCTAGAGGAGGGGGGTACTGGGCCAGAACCCAGAGTTGTTACAGTATTTTATTAAAAATGCCCAGTTTCCAACAAAAAAATTACCAGGCACACAGAGGAGCGTATGACCTGTATACTGGCAAGAAAGCGGGCAACAGAAACTGCTTTTGAGAGGGACTAGATGCCACATCTCACAAAGACTCTGAGGTAGCCATTGTAGATATGTTCACAGCTAAAGGACAGCATGACTACAGTAAAGGAAGGTATCAGAAGGTCACATCAAGTAGAGAACATTCATAAAACACAGAAATGATGAGATTCACTTTAGGGACCAAACAGAAGATATGAACTGGCTGGAGAATTTGTGAACTTGAAGACAGACCATAGGAGATTATGCTAGTCCAAGAACAGAGAAAAAATGAACAGAGTCCCTGAGAAATGTGGAACACATTAACTGGCCCAATACACATAATGGGAAACCAGGAGGAGAGGGAACTTTCAAAGAAGGCATAGCTGCAAACCTCCTAAGTTGAAAAACCTCCCATATATTCAGGAAGCTCAATGGACCCCAGGTAGGATCTATACAGACAGACCCACAAACAGACATATAAAAATGCCAAAAGTCAAAAACAAAATCTTAAAAGCAGCAAAAATAATTAGGACTGATAATTAGTCCAGCACAGTTGCAAGATTTAAGATCAGTATACTAAAATCAATTATTGGGACGCCTGGGTGGCTCAGTGGATGAGTGTCTGCCATCAGCTCAGGTTGTGATCCTGGGGTCCCGGGATTGAGTCCCACATTGGGCTCCCTGCATGGAGCCTGCCTATCTGTGTCTCTCATGAATAAATAAAATCTTTAAAAATAAAGTGTTGATCCCGAATAGCTAAAGCACTCCTGAGAAATAGCAAGACTTGGAAGTATCACACTCCCAGATTTTAAACTATACTGTGATGCAAATAAGGAATCAGATTAATCAAAATAGTATGGTACTGGCAGGAAACAGACATACAGATCAATGGAACTGAACAGAGAGCCCAGAAATAAACCCACATTTATGGGGTCAATGAATCCATGACAAAGGTGGTAAGAATGCCTGATGGGGAAGATAATACCAGCGAATAGTGCTGGGAAAACAGGACAGCCACATGCAGAAGAGACAGGACCACTTTCTGACACTGTCGACAAAAATAAACTCCAAATGGATTAAAGACCTAAATGTGTGACCCCAAACCCTAAAACTCTCAGAGGAGAGCACAGGCTGTAAGTTCTCTGACATTGGTCTCAGCAGTATTTTCTTTGGACCAGTTTCCTCAGGCAGGGGCAACAAATGCTAAAATGTGGGATGCCCAGTGGTTGGGCGTCTGCCTTTGGCCCAGGGTGTGATCCCAAAGTTCTAGGATCTAGTCTGGCATTGGGCTCCCTGCGTGGAGCCTGCTTCTCCCTCTGCCTGTGTCTCTGCCTTTCTCCGTCTCTCATGAATACGTATTTTTTGAAATGCTAAAATGAGATTACATCAAGCTAAAAAGCTTGTGCATAGGAAGGAACCATCAACAAAACATAAAGGCCGCCTACTGAATGGCAGCAGGTATCCGTGAACCACACAGCCAAACAGGCGGTCACAAGAGCCCCAGAAGAGCTGAAACAATCTCAAAAACATACAAGAAAATAGGGCTCATACTTTTTAAAATTCCAGTGTAGTTAACACAGTGTTGTATTAGTTTCAGGTGTACAGCATAGCGAGGCAGCCCCGCCAGAGGATCCCACACTCATCGAGAGCAGCGTGCTCAGCCCCTCCCCTCACGTAACCATCCGTAGCTGGGAGTTTTTGGTCTTTTTCCCTTTATTTTTCTTAAATTCCACGAGTGAAATCCTATGGTATCTTAGCTCACTTGGCAGAATACTCTCTGGCTCCATCTACATTGTTGCAAATGGCAAGGTTTAGTTTTTTAATGGCTGAGGAATATTCCACAGCATGGATACACAATTTAATCTACTCATCAGCTGATGGACTGCTTCCAATTAGCTATTGTAATTAATGCTGCTATACACACAGGGGTGCAGTATCCCTTTATTTTTTGTAAATTTATTTTTTATTGGTGTTCAATTTGCCAACATATAGAATAACACCCAGTGCTCATTCCATCAAGTGACCCCCACCCCCTGGCCTCCACCCCTAGTTCGTTTCCCAGAGTTAGGAGTCTCTCATGCTCTGTCTCTCTTTCTGTGCAGTATCCCTTTGAATTCGTGTTGTTTTTTGGTAAACAGCAGTGCAATTACTGTGTCTTAAGGTAGCTCTATTTTTAACCCTTTGAGGAACCTCCACAGTTTTCCAGAGTGGCCACACCAGTTTGCATCCTCCCCAACAGTTTATGAAAGGTTCCCCTTTCTCCACATCCTCGCCAACATTCGTGGTTTCCTGACCTGTTGACTTTAGCCATTCTGATGGGTATGAATTGGTCTCATTGTGGTTTTGATTTGTGTTTCTCTGATGGCAAGTGATGCTCAACAACTTTTTGTGTCCGTTGGCCATCTGGATGTCTTAGGAGGCACGTCTGTTTGTGTCTTCTGTCCATTTTAAAATACAAATGGTGTTTTTGGTGTTAAGTCCTTTATATATTTTGGTCACCTACCCTTTATTGGATATGTCACTTGCAAATATCTCCTCTCATTCTGTAGGTTTTAGTTTTTGTTTCCCTTGCTGTGCAGAAGCTTTTTAGCTTGATATAATTCAGGACTCACTTTCTGGTTTCAAAGGGTCCTACAAAGCCCACAATCAAGAGACCGTGTGCTACTGAGAGGCTGGAAATAACCCCAGGCATCTGTGGCCAAGTGAGTTTCAACAAAGATGCCAAGATCATACTATTGAGATCATACTTCTCAAGGGGAAAACAATCTTCTCAATAACGGTGCTGGGACAACTGGAGAGTCACACGGAAGAGAACGAAGTTGACGCTCAGCACACACCAAATTCAAAAGTCAACCCCAAATAGATTAAAAGTAATAAAGCCAGAATTATGAAATTCTTAGAAAACAGGGTATATTTTCATGACCTAGATTCACCAAATGATTTCTGGATAAGAGCCCCAAAGCACAAGTAAAAGAAAATACAATGAATGTCACAGAAACTTTGTAGCTTCAAGGACACCACCAAGAAGGTACAACCCACAAAATGGGAGTAAGCATTTGCAGATCATTTATCCAACAAGGCACTGGTTTCTGGAACATACTGTTACAACTCAGACGACCTAACTGCATATGAGACGCAGAACGGGAGTAGGCATTTCTCCAAAGATCATTTGAGTGGCCACTAAGCACACGTGAAGGTGAAAAGACCGCTGGTGGTTGTGGAAACACCCACTCGATGGCTAGAGCCATCCCCCAGCACCAGCCACAGGAACCTGCCCTGCCTCCTGGAACCTCAAGCGTCCACCACAGGGTGAGGGTGTGGAGGACCTCAGGGCCCCTCGCTGTGCCAGGGGGACGTGGGATGGTGCCACGACAGGCAGCCACACCCCAAGCACTGATCCAAGAATGGACCTAACCGCAGGAGCTAAACCCATCCAACCCAAGGTCACCAGCTGGCAAGGGGGATGCACGGTGTGAAGGGCACAGGGGTCCTCGTGCCAACGTGCACTCCATTCCCTGTCAGTGTCCTGGTGTGACACCCGCTGGTCCCACAAGAGGTCAGCACTGGGGAAACTGGGAGGACACAGGGACCACTGTCCGTTCTCATAAGCACAAAGTAACCCGAGTGTCTGCCATGAAGGCCGGTGGTCCCAAGTGGTGGATGGGACATCCCTGAAGTCCTCCTGAACCAGCTCTGCATGTGGCACTCATCCAGGACAGTGCTCCACTGTGGCAGGCCCTCCTGCCCCCATCTTGCCTAGACTACCTTGGCTGCCCCCCCCCCCACCCCCGGTGAGGGATGGTCAACAGCCTGTGCAAACAAGGGTCCAATGGCTCCCCATCCACCCCCAGGCCCGCGAGGTTTCAAGAGATGAACCAGCTCTTCCTGAGACCCTCTGGAGGCTTGTGGCACCACTGGGATGGGGACCTTGGGTTGAGGGGCCCTTCTCCCTGGCTGCCTTTGCACTCTTCTGAGCTGCTGGGGGCAAATGGCAGTGCCCAGTAGTCACTCTTGTCTATTCTGCCAATGAAATCTCTGGCAAGGGACCAGGAGGGAAGCAGACTGTTCTTTCAGTGTCTAGTGGGAATACTGCCAGGCCAGGACAGGAGGCTTAGGGCACTTAGGGCACACGACACCAGGACCCCTGGCTGGGATGAGATGGCAGTGAGGGGACTCCAACCCTGCTGTAACAGAGGAGTACACTTGCCTTCTGCTCCAGAACCAGTGCCTCCTGGTCAGCTTGGGTCTCTGGCTTCCCCCCACTCACTCGAGACCATGCACAAGAGAACTTCTAGGACAACTGTGCTGGGTACCAAACCATGATGAGAGCCCCAAGCCATGTGCTCATGTGCTCAAACCCCAATGGGCCTGCCCCAGGAAGGTCCTCACGGCTCCAAAGCTGGAACTCTAGGACCACATCTGCGCACAGTGTGAGCAGGAGGCAGGTGGCTGTGTGTGCATGTATAGGACAAGGGCCCCCGTGGAGGCAGAAGCTAGGACAGACGGACCGCCTGGAAAGCAGGGTGGATGGTGGTGACGGTGACAAAGGCCGAGATGCCTTCTGGTGTTGAAAACTGAAATTCTAGGTTTATTGCCCACAAGAGGCAAGAGCTGCCGGCCAGCACTCCTCTCTGGGCAAGCCCCACAGGGACGTGTGTCCATGAGTGGCCATGGCCAGGCCTCTGGGGGAACCTGGCCCCACCCTGGGGAAACGCAGTTCACGGCTCAGGACAGGTCACTTGGCCAGCTCCTCCGCCACTGCTTTTCTTATCTTGTCCTTCAGGTAGGCGCCTTTCTGCCACTCAGACTTGAGTTCCAGCCACTCGTAGTACGGGACCTGTGGGGAGGGTGTGGGGACCCCTGCTCTGTCTGTTCTGCGCCCACACCCCAGGTCTCCCAAGCCCACGGAGCTGTGGCACCGTGTTCAGGGAAGAGATCCTGGTTTCCGCAGGGCTCAGAGCTACAGGAGCCTGACCTCTAGGCCTGGGATCCAAGAGCCTGTGGCATCTGAGAGCAACTTTTTAATTTTTAAATATTGCTAAAAACAAAACCAAAAAACCACCCTGAGATGCGTGACAAAACTGTCATGTGGCCTCTAAGGCCACCCCTGTGTCCTGTGGCCCGTATAGGACAGTCTGCTCTCTGATGGGAGCAGCGAAAAGGAGCACAGTGTCCTGGGCAGCACCCAGCTCTAGCACCGGCTGACGTGGACGTGCAGACCTGGTGCACAAGGCCTGGAGCGGGTAACAGAAGCCACAGCCTTGGGGAAAATAGGATCTTTGAAGCTGCCCTTTCTCCTGCGTGAAAGGGGAACCCTCATAGGGACAGCCTCAGGAGCTGGGGGGCCATGTGGTCACTGCCTGCCCAACAGTACTCACATCCACCACCAGGAAGCCAGCGGCCAGCACATGGCGCCGGGCCAGCACGAAGCGCCCCAATAAGTCTCGGCTCCGGCTGCTGTAGTTGGGGAACTCCCAGCGTAGGAAGGCCAGCCTGGTGGGAGAGAGGTGCATGGATTCAGCTTCAGGGGCTCCTGGGCCCTTGGGGGGAGTGGGGAGCCCAGAAAAGCTGCAGGCCTGCCTACCTCTTGGCTCCAGGAGGCAACGGCTGGCTCCCGGAGGGTGGGGCAAGATGGGGGGCCACGAAGTCCCTCGGGGGCAGGAACTGGCTATCTGGGTCCAACACTACCTCAGCGTCTAGGGATGGGTGTGGGGCACATGTTGGGGACTGTCCTCGGGGGAGCAGGGGGCAGAACTAGGAGCAGTCCCGCGGCCGCAGTGGTGGGAGTATGGGGAGGACCTCACCCAGGACCCAGCCGTACTGCGTGGGCACCATGAAGCTGCCCCTGCTCCCCAGCAGCCCCCTCAGTGTGTCCTGCAGCTCCTTCTGCAAAGGGGTCACCTTCCTGTCTAAGGCTGAGAGCCTGGGGACCACAGCAGAGGCGGGCAGGAGGGGGCCCGTGTACTCGGGATGCTCCAGGTGGGCGGTAGCGTTGATGTGCAGCAGCTTCTGGAAGGTGCTCTGATGCTTTGGGGACCCGCCCCCTAAGGAAGAGGACACGAGAAGAGCGGGTGAACCGAGGACCAGCACGCTCTGCCTCCATGTTGCACCATGAAATACGTGTCATCACAGGCAGAAGAGGGTCTGTGGGCCACCCTCGGGGAGGGGGCGGGGGAGCAGTGAGTGCCAGGTGGGCTTGGGATGCCCCCTTTCCCCTGCCCAGCCCGGTTGGAGGTGCTGGACACATGCAGGACCAGGCAGCCACCCAGCTGAAGCTACAGCGGGGAGGGCTCCGCATCCCTCAGGGAAAGAGGGGATGCCACACACCACTCACCTAGGAACTGGGTATGCAGCTCAGGGCACAGCACGGCCCGCAGCTCTGCCTCTTGCACCTGCTGCAGCACGCACAGAGCCCACACCACGTCCACCTGCAGGGCTGGGGGCAGGCCCGACAGCATTGAGCCCAGCTTCTCACGGACCTGGGTGAGGACAGGGCGAGGTGGACGGATGGGGGCCTCCCTCAGCGGCAGCACACATCCCAGGGCCAGCCACGCTCAGGGCTCCCGAAGGACTTGGCTGCACCAAGGCCCAAAGCAGCTCTGGGGAGTGAGCCTGCAGTTGCTCTGCTCAGGCTTGGCGCATCCCCTTGTTGAAAGCTCCAGAAACCCTCCCTGTCACCCAGGAGCAACCTGGGCAGCACGACCTTCAGCTAGACTTTCCCACTGCCCCTCCCACTGGTAAGGGACCGCAGCCAGCCGACCTAGGGTTGAGGCCGGTAGACACACAGGCAGTCTCACTCCTGCGCGGGGGCACTCTGCAGTGACCTGCACACCTGTGTCCGCTGGCAAGTCTCACAGCATCAGCAGGGAGTTGAGGGAGCATCAGGGAGACCCAGCCCTGACCACGTGGTGACTGAGCAGGCTGATGGTCCTTGACCTGCAGCTGCTCTGGGCCACACAGTGCACACGTGGGGATTTCAGGTCTTAGATCCCAGACAACGCATGTCCCATGTGGCTCCAGCTGGCTCCCCTGGCCCTCTTGGCGCCCCCATGGCCCCCACGCTGGGCCTTCCTTCTGCCTCTATACCTAGGGCTCCCATGCACAAGTCCAGTCTGGAGTTCCCCCCGGGGGTCCGGCAGGCACAGGAAGAGGATGGGGGAAGCAGGGGTACACAGACTGTACCAAGCAGAAGAACTGGTCCTCTTGTTCCGGGTGGAAGTTCAGATGCGCGAAGGCCAGGAGCATGTTGCACAGGTGTAGCCCGGTGATAGTCTGGGCTCTGTCTAGGATGTGCTAGACCGGCCACACAGCAGAGAGAAGCGTAAGACACAACGGGCCCTCCCACAGGGCTCCCAGCCACCTAGGTCATCTAGACCTTCCCCCAGAGGTGGAGACTCTGGAAATGCTGCAGCCAGTCCGCATGGTCTCAAGTGGTTGCACGCAAACGTGAGCATCTTTCCTTGCTGCTTCAAGAGCAGAGAGCAAATTCGGAGCTTTGCTGTCCACAACAGTCCCTGCTACAGTCACCTGAGGCTGGAGACCACCCTCACCCATGTCATCTGCACCACCTGAGATGGCTCCTTCCCCAATCACCCTCGGATGGGGACCCCCCTCCCTTGACCCCCCCCCTTTGCAGCCTGGCAGTGTGTCTGGCCCGCTGCGCCTCCCTGATAGAAGATGCAAGGCGCTGCCCAGCTCACCTGGACGAAGGCCTCAAACAGGGGCCCATTGACCCACTTGAGGAGGGCGAAGGACTTGGTGCAGCGGGCCACCTCGCTGGATGTCAGGCTGGGAGCACGGGGCAGCAGGTCAGATGCAAGGCGCTGGAACACCTGGGTCTGCTGGAAGCCGAGTTTGCCTTCGGGACAGAGTGACCCCAGGGTTCACCCAGTGAGGGTCAGTGGGCTACCTGGGAGCCACCCAGCCACCCCTGTATGGCCTCAAGGTCTGGGAGGTTGGTGTCTGTGATCAGATTTATCCCTGAGGCCCAGTGCGGGGAATCAGGGCCCATGGGTCACAGTGTTGCTGTGGCAGCCTTTTGGACCAGTGCCAGCCACAGGATAGGCAGGCATCGAATTTGACATAGCTGCGGCCAGAGTGCCCCTTCGCCCACTGCTCTTGGTGGGAAGGGCTCACCATAGGCGTAAGCCAGGTCCAGGAGGATGCCTTTCGTCAGGGGGAAGGGCTTCTGGACCAGGTGGTAAGAGATGGCCCGCAGCAAGGGCACTGACCGCCGATTCTGAGTGGCTAGCGTCACCAGCACCTTCCGCAGTTCGTCGGGGCCAAACTGCTCCACCAGCTCCAGGCACTGTCAATCACAGCCGGCAGGGGTCAGCTCGACGGCCGAGGCCAGGGGTCCCATGCAGTGCAGCCCCTGTGGGACAGTGACTGGACCTGAGCTCAGTAACCCCAGGCCCCAGCTGGGTGGGGCCTGCCTCTGCTCCCAGCTAGGGACCCCCCGCTGGGTTCCCTGTCTGCAGCCAAACTTATCCCCAGGTCCCAGTGCAGAGGACCCAGGGCCCATGAACTGCAGGGCTTGCTGTGGCAGCCATCTGGGCCAGCACCCACTATGACGGGAATGGGAGCTGAATTTGACTTGACTGCAAGGTGGGGGAGGCATCACCACCAAGCACTAGCCTGGAGCTGACCACCTGACGGCCCCGGTTAGGTGCACAAGGTGATTGTGGAGGAAGACAAGGCACGGTTCGGGCCCTGTGCTCTCCCCACCAGGAGCCCAGGGCTCCTGCCCCAGTACCTTGTCTTCCAGGCGGTTCATCAGTGGCTCCGAGAGGTGCCCTATCTTGGCCATCATGGACACTACCATGCGGCAATCCTCGATTTCTGCCCATCGCCGTTCCAGGTGTAAAAGCAGCTCAGCCAGCAGCTCCTGGGAGTCCCGCTCCTGCATGTAGGTGGCACTGGACTCCGCCAGGAAGACCAGGTGCCTATACTTAAGCCTGCGCAGGCGCCAGCGGACCTCCTGCTCCACCGACTGCAGCTCCTTGCAGGCCCTGGGGAGCGCCAGCGCATAGAGGCTCCGGAGCAGCTTCACAAGGATCCCATGCCACACCGAGGTTATCTGGGTTAGAAGGACACAAAAAAGTCACACGCAAGACTCCACCTGACTTATGTCAGGGGTTTGGACTAGAAGCTGCCTGCCCAGCACAGCCCACCCACTGCTTTGGGGTGGGGGAGGGGGCTTCTGGCAGCTGTCTGGGTCACCTTCAAACAAGAACGTTGCATGAGAAGCGGAATTCCCGAATTTCTCCAATGCAAATTCCACAGAGGAGGCCGGTTACACACAGACTCGGCCACAGCTCTGCATGGCGGGCACATCTGGTGAGTGCCCATCTCACACATGCAGGCCTGAACCCAGGCAAGCCATTGCGTCCAGGACTGGGAGGCGAGCCTGCAGGAGCCCGCTCGTTCCTTTGCTTGTGGTGACCGTATTGCTCCCTGGCTGTTATAGACACACTGACTTTCCTACAGCACACAACTGCCCCACTGAGTCTGAGAAGCCCAAATTCTAAGCCCCTTTTCCCCAAAGGAGCGGTCCCACAATTGTGGGAAACAGTGTTTCTCATGGATGTTGATGAGAGTAACGCCGGCATCCAGCACAGCATGTCCAGGCACGGGGGACCCCCCCCTGCCCCACCCAGTCCGTGCTCCTCAGGCGTGAAGCTATGCAGAGAGGCCCTTGAATGTGTGGGCAAAAGGAGGCCTGGGTCCAAAAGGATGGCCCTGGCCATCCTAACCCAGGCGTCTGGGACGAGGGGCTGGTTGTTCACTGGCTGCCACCATGGCCGTGTCAGGCACCAACACCAGGGGAGCTTCACACCCCACTCCAGATTCCTTAAAGCCCCACCAACTACAGCAGTGCCATGCTGGCACCTCCCTCCCTCCTTCTTGGTACCTGTTTCTGACAAGAGGACCCTGCCGTTCCCAGCAGGGTGTGTTTCCAGGCCTCAGAGAGGCATGAGGCCCCTCTAGCCCAGCCCCTTGCAGAGGCAGTATATGGCAGGGGGCCCACAGGAGAGCCAGGACACAGGCACTCGGTGGGGAGGAGCTGTCTGGAGCACTGAGCCTCTAATGCTGCCCCTTCTTGTGAAGCTGCTCCCTTCAAATGTGAGCTAGAACCACACCTGGTGCTGAATGCAAACAGGGGAGCCGGTGTGCGAAGGGCTGCGGATGCTGACAAGTCTGGAATCTGAGTCTGTTTCAGGAAACCTGGTGCCTGTGTCTGTGCGTCTCCTGAATAGCAGGGAAACTTTTAAAAAGCTCAAATCTCCAAACTCGTTATAATTTGTTCCTGGTTAATCCTGTTTGTCAATTTGTCATCTTGTTCACATCCACCTCCTAATACTTGCTTCCTTAGTGTGTACACGGTACTCAATAAATAACCGTCAGGACCACACCCTCACCACCAGAAGGGCTCAGGATGAGATCACGAGCAGTGGCACTGGTGTTGATCACCTTCTGTCATGACTCCAGCATGCGCGCACACGTTTCACTGAGACAAAGCTCCCAGACGTGATACTTCCCCTACCACACACGTTCTAGCATTTCCTCCCTTGGCCGAGTTAGCCTATCTCATAAAAAACAGCCAGCCACACCCCCTGCTTTTCGGTGGAAGCCTGGAAACCCCACCCTTGAACTGTGAATCTCCTATCCCTTTTGCTCAGCAAGGGACTGAAGCATAGACTTGGGGAGGGAATGTGGGCAGACAAGGCCAGAGCAGGGGTTCGACCTCCTGCCTGTGGTGTGGACCCCCCCCTCTGGCAAAAGAGCCAACTGGAGTTCTGCTTCCTCCCCTGCAGGTGCTACTCAGGCCCTCCCCCTGCCCTGTTCCCTCAGTGTAAGGGTCTGACCAGCTGGATGACGGCTGTACCCAGCCCGGTGCCCTGGCGCCCTCCGTCCAATACCCTGTATCCCTTCCAGCCGTGGAAGCATGCCCACTGTTAGCCAGACAGACCCTGGACGGGAGCTACACAAGTCAGGACTGCCTCGCCAGGGAAGGGCGTTTGCTGCTTGGGAAAAAACAGCTTATATTGGGCAGCCCTGATGGCCCAGTGGTTTGGTGCTGCCTTCGGCCAGGGGTGTGATTCTGGAGACCTGGGATCGAGTCCCATGTCCAGTTCCCTGCATGGAGCCTACTTCTCCATCTGCCTGTGTCTCCCCGCGCCCCCATGTCCCTCATGAACAAATAAATAAAATCTTAAAAACAACAACAACAACAACAACACAGCCTATATTCATTCACCTAAGACGTCTGCGCAAAGGACTAACAGGAAAAAGACACATAAAAGTATTTGTACTCTATGAAATGAAAAACTAGGGGCACCTGGGTGGCTCAGTGGTTGAGCGCCTGCCTTTGGCTCAGAGTGTGACCCCAGGGTCCTGGGATCAAGTCCTGCATCGGGCTCCTGCATGGAGCCTGCTTCTCCCTCTGCCTGTGTCTCTGCCTCTTTCTGTGTCTCTCATGAATAAACAAATACAATCTTTAAACAAAAAACACACAAAAAAAACCCCAAAATGAAAACCTAGAGGATGTGGAGGACTTAGCTGGCGGGGCGGCGGAGCTCCTGGCTGTACCTGGAAACTGACCGGCTGCTCTGGACTCTAGGGCCACCTTTTCCTGCTCGTTGAACCCTCAGAGTACATTCTAGAAACCCACCTGGCTATTGACCAGCTTAAGCAGCTGCTGAAAGTGGGCATCCTGCAGAAGCAATGCCTTCTTGTCTTCTGGCTCATTGGCCAGCAGGCGAGAGAGCTGGATGAGGATGAGGGCTGCATGGTTCTCGTGCAAGCAGTGACCACCACGAAAGAGCTCCAACAGCTCCTCAGGCCGAGTAGCTTTCTCAATGAGCTGGTCCACGTCTTGGTGCTCTGAGTTGGCAGCGAATGCCTGTTCCTTCTCTACAAGTCCCGATAAGGGACCTGGGAAGTGGGAACTGGGCGAGGTAGCTGAGGACGTCAGAACCCTGGGGGCAACCCTGCTAAGTCGGAGTACGAAGGCCGGAGCCAGGGCAGGGGCCTCGAGCATGGCTCCCCTCAGGAGGCAGGTGCATCGCTTCACCAGGCGAGCTGCCATCTCGGCCTGGGGGGCAGGCAGCTGAGACTCCTAGCCGGCAGTTCCACAGCCCTGAAGAGACAAAGGAGAGGAAGGGGTGAGGCGGCCAAAGCTGCGGACCCCCAGACACGAGAGCAAGACACACGGACCGCGGCTCAGCCCCTCTCCAGAGAGGCAGCAGCCTCTGCTTTCTGCCGGCGCTGCACACCGGTTTTCCTGAAGAACCACCTTTAGGCTTTTGGTTCCGCGCAGGTGACCGAGGCCCAGAACTCATCCGCATTAGAGCCTGGGCTGCGGAGAGTCCGCGCACTGTGCTTGGCATCACCCGAGGCGGTGGCCGGGTCAGCGGTTCAACAGTGACCCCGGGGCCCAGCCCGAAGCCGGGGCTCCAGGCGAGCAGCAGGCTCCCAAGGGCGGGGAAGGGGTCCCCATCACCCCGCCCCCTCCCCTCCGGCCCCCACCCATCACCGCGGCCCTCCCCTCCCGGCCCCATCACCCCTCCCGCCCCCTCCGGCCCCCGGGAACCCTCCTCCCCTCCCACCCTTCCCTCCTACCCACCCCCCCCCGCGACCCGGGGCCTCGCCCTCTTCCCCGGCCTATCACAAACCCCGCGGACGGGGCCGCGCACGCCACAGGCAGCTCGCACAGGCCCCGACGGCCTCCTCCCGCCACGGGGGCGCGCTCCAGCTCCGGACCTCCGGGGCTCCCTCCGCAGCTCCCTCCGCGCCAGACGCCCGTCCTAACCGCAGAAGAGCGGACGCTGGGAGACGCGGGGTATCGGCGTACTCGCGCCGCGAGGCTCGGCCTCCGGGTACAAACCGAACACCTGCACCCGCGCCCGCGGGATGGCGGCGGACGAGGGCGTGCGCACGGACCGGCCTCCCCTCGCCCCGGGACTCTCAATTCTCCCGCGTCCCCCCGCGCCCTTGGGGGCCTTACAACCGCCGCCCAGCCGCCCCCTCCGCACCATCAGACCTACACGGCGGCCGCCAGCACCGCCGCTGACCTCCATGTGCCCCCGCAGCGTCCTAGGGCCACGCCGCTCGGCGCGCTCTTACGTCACTCGGAGCGCCGCCGGAAGCGAGCCGCGCCGCGGTCCGCCGGTCCGGAAGTCACTGGAGCTCCTTTCCGGCCGGGAGCCATCTTTGCTGAGGGCACGCAGCCGGCAGCCACTGGCTGCCCCTTTCTGGCCAGATGCCATCTTTGCTGAGGGCACAAGCTGGTTGATGGGAAGAAGCGGAGTGGGAGACGGGGGCGAGGCGGCCCTGGTGCGCGGGGAGACGGACGCGGATCCGGACCCACGGCTGGAGGCCGAGCGCTGTCGGCGCTGTGCGGGGCTGCTGCGCTGCGGCCGGTGCCCGGCCGACGTCGTGCGTGCGTCCGGCGGGGGTTCTGTTGTCTCTAGAACGGAGGAGTCGAATGCGCGGGCTTTGGTGATGCTTCCGTGTGGCTTCATCGACCCTAACGAGTGTGCCCTTTGGTGGGGGCTGCCGATGGCAGGGGGAGGGCTGGCCTGTGCGTTGGGACGAGCGGTAGGTCTTACCAGGCTTCTCCCTCGGTGTTGCTGCGAGCCTAAGGTCGCTCTAGACCATGGAGGCTATTAAAAAGTAACGGACAGCAACACACACACGAGGACACATCTCAAAACAAAGGTGTAAAGTCAAAGAACGCTTACACCTCCACGTGAATGGCGCTTGCCCACGTAAAAACCAGTCAAAGAATTTTTTTAAAAAGGATTTTATTTGGGAGAAGGCACGCACACACAGGTGGGGGGGCAAAGGCAGAGGGAGAAACTGACCCCCACCAAGCAGGGAGCCCAGCCCAGGGCTCTATCCCAGGCCCCTGAGAGCCTGACTTGAGCCGAAGGCAGACGCCTCACCTTTGCCAGCTGAGCCACCCAGGTGCCCCTAAAAACCGGTCACAGAATTTTAAGATTTTATTTGAGAGCACAAGTGAGAGCGAGCGTACATGGGTGGGGTGGGGTGGGGTGGGGTGGGGTGGGGAGAGGCAGAGAAGGAGAAGCAGGCTCCCCAGTAATGGGCTGGATCCCACGACCTCAGGATCATGACCTGAGCTGAAGGCAGATGCTCAGCTGCCTCAGCCACCCAGGCGCCCCTAAAAACTGGCCCAAGAATTTGAATAGATGTCTCCAAAGAATTTACATAAATGTCTGATGAGCACATGAAAGGAGCTCGGTGCCACCAGTCATCAGGAAAATGCCAACCAAAGCCACCGCGAGGTGCCCCTTTGCACTCACTCAGTGTGGCTGTGGTTGAAACAACCAGCACAGACCCCAGAAGATGAAGAGCGTTGGTGAGGGCGCCGGGAGCTTGGGAGGCTAAGGCTTCACAGTCAGCCGTGACCCGGGCTGGCTTTTTTGGAAGACGTGGCGGTTTCACGGAACAGTCGCTGTGGGACTCGGGGGCACACCTGAGAACACGGGAAACGTGTCTGTGCCAACACCTGCACACAGGTGTTCGCAGAGGTGTTACCCGAAAAAGCCCCAAACTAGATGTGTGCCAGCAATGGTGGGCGAGCGAGCGCACAATGTGGCGTGTCCCAAGTGGGATACTAGCCAGTACGCTCGGTGACCGTGCCCTCCCCGCGTGATTTCACCTGGGTGCCTCGTCCTGGAGGCGCAGAGGTGCACATGGAAGGAGACGGTGGTCCCTGGGCTGGGATCGTGGGGATGGGGCCGCTTTGGGTGCTGGAAGTGTTCTGGGATTGGAGCGCTTGTCCGAGACCACGAAGAGCCACCGGGGTCTGCAGTGGGGCAGCGGCCACGTACTCTGGGAGCTCTGTGGCCCAGCTAGTGCGTCAGAGGCCAGTGGGCCCAAGAAAGGGCCTCGCCTGCTGTTGGGCCGTGTTTAGGGCGCCTGCCGTTGCCGTCTGTTTAGTTCTTTACTCTGGGGCTGGCGAGACGCCGAGGCGTTTCCAGAGCTGCCAACGTTTTGGGAGCCTGGGCGTGGGGAGCCCAGGGCCTCAGGTTTGAGCCCGCAGACCTCTCCTGGGCCCTGGTTCTGATGCTCTTGCAGCTGGAGGTTGCAAGGGTGGCTCGTCTGGGGCCCTTCTGGCCATGACCAGGAGTGGGAGGTGGCCCACCCAGGGCCCCGTGGGGTCCCTCAAAGCCTCTCCTACTTCCTGGAGTCAGGAGCTCATGCTTCCAGCAAACGTGACCCAGCAGGCACATCTCCATTGAGGTGGTGGCCTCGGCCACCCAGACAGAGGGCCTCCCACCTCGCCATCACCGCCGCCGCCGCCGCCAGGGAGTGGTGTCCAGGCCTAGGGGCTACGTCTGGGGCCACCACGGTCACTCAGGTCTGTGCAGATGGCCCTGCGCTCTGAGCCGACGGGGGCAGGAGCCTTGTCAGGATGGGAAGCATCAGGCTCCACTTGGTGGCTTGGGGGAAAGATCTGATTTGTCAGGTGCTCAGTGTTCTGAGCGCTGGGCTTGGAACCCCCTCTGCCTTCAGAGGACCCAGCTGGGCGTGGGGAGGATGGGGCGCTTTGTCCCTGCTTCCCCCTCCAGGTCCCGCTGTGAGCCCCTTGGCTCCCCCTCCGCACCCCCACGCCACCCTGGTCACTGTGCCCCTCCCGGCAAAGCTAGCCTGCAGCTCCCTTGCCCCCTGGTGATGGGGGGGGGCCTGATGGTGACCTGAGGACAGAGTGTCCTTGGTGGGGGGGGTGGCCCCAGCTCGGTGCCCTCTGACAGCAGGATGCTGCGGAAGGACCGCCTGCCGCCCTGGAGGTGAAGAGCACCAGTCTGGCAGGAAGACTGGGTGAGGGGCTGGTCTCCCTTGGGTGGCAGGGAGGGGGGCGGGGGGATGCTGGGGAGATCTCAGCCCGTCCTGTCCCACATGCTTGCAACAGATGGAGTGGCAGGCCCAGAGCAGCGTGCAGGCCTGCCAGGGACTCTTCCTGCTGCAATCTGGAGCAGATGAGCTGGCGATGACAGTGTGACAGCGGGGTGGCGGGCGGTGGGGGAGGTGAGGGCTCCACCCGGCGCTGGGCCTTCCTGGGATCCCCTGGACAGTGAGGTGTGGCGATGGCACCTGCCTTCCCTCTGCAAGGCTGGGTTTTGGCTGGGGCTGGGCAGAGGTGTCCCCCAGACCGGCCCCGGGGGGTGGGGTGGGGAACCCCTGGTGAGCTACCTTGGTGGACAGGCCGCACACCTGTCGCTGGGGAATCCAGCGCCTCCTCTGAGGCTTCTTGGGGACAGGTCTGGAAGGGTACACCTGGCCGCCTCCAGAGTTCATCTCCCCTCCCCCCATGCCTCTTCTACATGCAGGGTTTGGGGTCTTCTCCTACCAAGGTGCTGTGCTGAGTCCTCTGTAGAATCACCGAAAGGTGGGCCTGAGGACTCCCCTTTCTTAGGGAAAGATCCTCCCTCAGGGCCTCCCCAAACTTCCTAAGAGGAGGGGGGAGGGGAGAGGGAGGGGGAGGAACCACACTTGAAGGTCTGTTGGCTCAGCCAGGCGTGTGACCCTGTCCCATGCACCCTCACTGCACCCTTGCACCCTCACGTGTGGGAAACAGGCCAGAGTGGAGGATGAGACTGCCCAAGGGTGCGTGGAGAATGAGCACCCAGGGCTCCTATAGTCCCAAAGCCCCAGTGCCTCTGCCCTCTGACCCCTTAATCCTGACAGAAGCCAGGTCCCCAAACCCCATGGATCCACACATCCAACCTCCCCTCCCTCTGTCCCTCCTCCCTCCACCTCCTACATTGTTCCTGCTCCTGCATCTCTTCATCGCCCCTCCTTCCTCTTCCTCCTTCCTTCCTCCTCCTTCAGTCCTTTGTCTCTCAGTCATCCATCCTCCTGCATCCCTCCTCCCCCCTCCCTCTCCCTCCTCCGTTCCTCACCCAGTCCACCCTTCCACCTTGCCCATCCTCCCACCACTACACCATCCACCTAGAAGTCCTGCAGAGCCCTCCTGGTGTGGTGGGCAAGTGCTGGGGACAGTATGGGTGCGAGGGCCCTTCTGGTCGCCTCTCCTGGCTGGAGCCAGAGGGGCCTGGGAGCTCCAGGGTGGGAGGGGCTGGAAGGTGCTGGATCCCCCTCTCCCCATGTCCCCCTGCAAGCCACTGTTCTAAAATACCACATAGTAGGAAATCCATGGCCAGGAGAGCAGATGGGAGACTGTCACAGTTCCCGGGAGGAGGGCCACACGGGGAAGTGCCTGGCCAGAAGGCAGGGGGAGGGTTGCTGTGGGCACCAGCCTTTATGTGGTTTCCGTGGGGAGGACTGGGCAAGGGCCAGCAGGCCGAGGACAGGTGGTGTGGCTGGGCGGTGTGGCTGCCTCCGTAGGCCCCGCTGTGCCTGTGCCGGGGCTGCTCCTCCTCCTCTGGTCCCTGTGGGTGAGGAGGGCAGGGGAGAGTGGGCTGGAGCATAGGACCCCCACGGAGGAGGGGTTGGGCCATGGGCTCCGCAGTGATTTGCATTGGATAAGGGTGCTCCCCCTTACCCAGGGCAGGAGGGCTGCTCCTGAGCAGGAGTGAGGAGGGCAGGGGTGCGGGTGGGTAAGCGCCCAGTGTAGCACGTAGGGCAGATGTTAGGCTGTCAAGCTGACAAGCTGGACACGTGGCCATGCAGGGATGGAGGGGGTGGGCGTTCGCAGGGGAGGGTCCCCCAGCATGTAGGTGGGGGCCAGTGTGTCTCCGCCTGGTTCACTCTGAGGTCGAGGCGGGGCGGGCTGCGCGGTTCAGCCCCCCCCCATAACACTGAGGGGCAACCGCGCTGTCTGATGGCACCTTTGAATCCTCCTGGTGCACATCTCTGGTAGGGCCACCACATGTGAGTGTTGGGATCCCCTCGAGTGGCACTGGGGCTCGCAGAGCCACGGGGCCCTAGGATGCGTGGTGCCAGGTTCAGTCCCTTGCTTGGGGTGGGGACCAGCTCTCTGCTGTGGAGGGAGCTCGCCTTGGTGAAAAATGGTCATGTAAGGGGGATGCTTCAAGACCATGTGTCTCTCCCAGGGGCTCCCGGGTGTCTGGTGACACCTGCCCGGGATGAGGATGACTTCGGAGCTGTGGAGGGTGGGCCATGGGTTTCTGGTCCTGGTGTCCCCCCGGCCCCCCATGTGGACTAGCGTTTTCCGGGAAGAGGAGCTTCCTGTCCTCCCTGTACCCTGGCGGTGCTCCAGCGGGCTGGTGATGGCTACAGGCCGGCTCCGCTTTCTGACACAAGGTGGCCCACGCAGCCTTGTCCTGTGTTCCTGCAACAGCGTCTCCAAGGAATCTGGTTCCTCTTGCTGGACAATGGTCCAGAAACAAGATTCAGCCCCTGGGCGTAGCCCTTTTCATTTGGGGTGATCCACCCTGTCTCCCTAGCTCCTGATGTGTCCGCCAGCCCCACAAGCTGCGGCCAGGCCGGCCAAGCGCCCACATGTGCCAGCCGCACACTGGGGCACCGCAAGGAGCTCTGGTCCTTGCCCTCTGCCTGGAGCAGCATTTTGAAACGTTGCAGTTTCCGGGGTGCTGCAAGCGTCCTGTGTTATTTGCAAGGACTCCACTTCCCATACCTGAGTTTTTGCTAACGAGGTGACACTGGGGCAGGAGTCTTAGACACACAGAATGGGCCGGTGGCCCAAGGAGCCAGCCTGTGGCAAGAGGGCCGGGGGCCGACTTGCTGAACGAGGGCTGAAGGCTGTGGGAAGGCCCCTGGACACCAGAGCTTGGGCGCCCCTGGGGGGCAGGGGTGGGCCCGTGACACACGGATGTGCCTACAGGTGGTGCACCCCAGCCCAGCAGGTACAGAGCCCCCCACGTCCCTCACCCACCTCCACCGTGTGGTCTTTATTTGGCTGTTACTGGTCTGGGTTCTTTACAATAGACTGTAATCATAACTATTGGGCTTTCAGAGTTCTGTGGGTCGTCCTGACAACTTACTGAGTTGGTGTGGTTCATGGGAACCCCTCCATCTGTAGGTACGTGAATTGGGGTTCAGGTGGCCTCCCGAACTGCCAGCAGGTGCTTGCAGTCAAGGCAGTAGGGTGGGAGCCGCAGGGGGGTTAGCATCAGAACTGCCGTGAGCGGTGGGGTGCCCACTGGGTATCTGCTGGGGGGTGCACCTTCCCTGGAGGTCCCAAGGGTGGTGTGGGCACTGACACTGCTGTAACCATGCCTCCCCTCTGCACACCACTGCACAGATGGGGTTACACGCCTGCTGTAGAGAGAGGCCGAGGTGACTTGGGAGCCCAGTCCTCCCTGCAGACCCTGCTCCACTCCTGTCCCCGCACCAGCAGCACCTGTCACAGGGACCGGCCCCCGGGGGGCCAGAGACCCGGGAGCTCCCAGAGGCCTGTGTGCTTTGTCCCTCCCAGCAGGTGCCCAGGACAGATGGACAGACAGAGTGAAGCTCAGGTTTTTATTAGCAGCAGGCAGGAAACATCTTATGTTCTCTGGATTCAAGAGAGAAGGTTCTTGCCAAGCAGACTCAGGCCAGTCACTCCTGGCAGCCCGGGGCTCCTGGGGAAGGCTGTCACTGAAGTGGTTCCTCTGCAGGGACATGGAGGCCTCAGAGGCGAGCCAACCAAGGTGGCAGGGGGGACGCCCCATACCCATCGCTCCCCGGCCCTCATGGTGCCCACGGGCTGGCGAGGACACAGATGGCCAGGAACCACATTTCCCAGCTGCCCCCAGACCTCCTCCCACATTCAGGAGCCCCGATGCCTCCCAAAGTTCCGTGACAAGGCCAAGGTTCTGCTCAGGCCGGGTTGGACACATCCTGTCCTGCTGGGCAAGTCTCTGGGCTTCTGCCTCCCTTGCTGGCCCGACACCCACCCTTTGCCCCAGCAGCACAGACCTTCTGCTCCATCCGTGGTCAGGGGCCGCGGTGGTGGCCCGGGGAGGGTGCGGGGCACTCACCTGCCTCGGGGTCCCGACACTGCATGGCACACACACTGAGACAGCACTTCCTGTGGCCCGCACACTGATCATCCCTGGAGCACTCACTGCTCTCCAGGCAGGGCTCGGGGGTCAGCGGGATCTGCACGCGGGGGCAGTGGCCGGCTTTCTGCACAGGCACTGGGGAGGGATGGGCTGTCAGGTGGCCCCAGGCCACCGTGCTACTGGGGAGGGGACCGCAGGCACCGGGTAGAGGGGCCTGGGCAAGGCTGGCGGGGGAGCGTGTTCACTGACGGGTTGAGTTTAGGGGGCTGGCAGTGGGTCACTCGGAGGGGGGTGGCGTGAGCACTCAGGGTTGACCCTGACAGAGCCAGTTCCTCCCTCCCCCAGACAGACCTCAGGGTGGGGGCACAGGGGTGCCGTGTTACCGATGAAGGGGACCACACAGGAGCGGCTGCAGGGGCTCCTGGGGCAGCATTTGGTGCCTTGGGGACAGTTGTCATCAGAGTTGCAGGAGACAACGCAGGTGTCTTCCTCCGAAGAGCTGACCTCCGGGCACACGGCCTGCCCTGGACATAGGACGGGTTCAGGGAAAAGCAGGCTGGGGTGACAGTCATGAGGAGTCTGGTCCCCAGCACCTGAACTCACGCCCTTTATTGAAGGGAAGACAATACGCGGAGCATGACTTGGGGACAAAAGGGTGCGTCAGGCACAGGTCCATGGCAGCAGGTGGTGTCAAGACCCAGGGGGCCAAGGACAGGCCTACCGTGCTCCAGGAGCTGTCCTGCCATCGGGGACAGTGGCCTGGGCCCTGCAGCTCATGGCAGTCTCTGGGCAGGGCCCTGCTCCTGGGCAGTCGGGGATCCCCGAGGACCAGCCTCCTCACTGAAACGTCAGGGCCAGTGCTGTGTCCGGGGCCCTCCTCAGTACCTCCCAGGGGCAGCAGCTCAGGCCTACCTGGCAAGGTAAGGGTGGGGGCCGGGGCTGGGGCCAGGGCCAGGGTGGCCCCCAGAGCCAGCAGGGCCAGAGCGAGGCCAGCAAGACAGCGCATGGTGGCGGGTGGCAGGCAGGTGGTAGATGGTGGCCTGCGGGGCCCCAAGGGCCTTTAAAGGCAGCAGTGGGAGGGTGGATGTGGGGCAGGGGCTGGCGCTGTCCCAGCTGGCCTAGAGGCTTCCGCCTTAGGCAGGCGAGCTGCATCAGGGAAGAGTCTTAAAACTTTAAAAAGTCCCTGATATGGTGTGCCATTTTCCTGCCTCGTGGTGGTGTGGCCCGGAGGGCCGTGGGGGTAGGATGGGGGGCCAGGCCATTGCCCTCAACTAAACAAAACCGTGATGTGTCTGCGAAGAAGAAGGTCGAGGAGCTCGCAGATCCTAAGTTGTCATCATCACTTGAAGAGGAACTCATCTCAGCGCTGGGTGGGGGATGTTAACATGGTCGTGCTGATGGTGTCCTAGGGTTTGCAAACAGCTGGTTGTTACCTTGCACACCTGGAACCAGTATGTTCCTGATAGCACTTAAAAAAGAGAAAGATTAGGGGATCCCTGGGTGGCTCAGTGGTTTAGCATCTGCCTTCGGCTCAGGGCATGAATCCAGAGACCTGGGATCGAGTCCCGTGTCAGGCTCCCTGCATGGAGCCTGCTTCTCCTCCTGCCTGTCTCTCTCTCTTTCTCTCTCTTTCTCTGTCTCTCATAAATAAATAAATGAAATCTTAAAAAAAAAAAATTAAACAAAAAAATGAGCAGAGAAGGGAAAAATGGGACCCAGGAGAGCACAGCGTCCTCCCTGTGCCCTGCCTCCCCCTCATCCTGCACTCAGAGCTCCGGAAGTGGGGGGTGGATCGAGGTGGGGAGGGGGCAATCGGGAGGACAGGCTGTGGCTCTTGTGGCTTCTCTGGAACGTGTTAGAGCCACGGCCCGCGGGCAGAGGACTTCCCGGCGGTTTCTGTGCAGGGCACGGTGGCCACTGGGAAGGCCTCTTCCCAGAAGGGCTCTGTCTGTGTCAGGCCAGCGTGGCTGGGCTGCCCTCTTGGGGCCCGAGGGAGCTTCCTTCATCCTTCCGGCCTGAGGGCCTGGGGGGGGGGGGGGCTGGGAGGCTGTGGACCAGGCCAGTGAAGGGCCCTAGGCCGCTTTCCTCCCCCCTGCAGCCCTCGGCCTGTGCTCCCCGCATTTCCAGACATTTCAGCCCAGACCGTCTTCCCATCCGTGCCCAGGGGCTCCGAGCCACCTCACGCCCCCCTAGCAGAGTTCTGGGGTGCCCAGGCCCTCCGAGGTCGGCCAGCGCAGAGAACCTGGCCAACGACAGTGACTCTTCTGTGCTGGCAGTTCAGACTGTCTCCCCCCTGAAGCCCAGCCCGAGAAGGAGGCAACGCACAGGCCTAGGGGGAGACCCTCGTGGTATGGAGGTCCCAGTCACTCTTAGGGGGTCCCCTGGGCCTTTCTGTCCCGCCTACACCAACAGTAGGGGGCTCAGGGTCTCGCTTGCTTAGATGCTGGTCCAAGGCCAGGCTGACCACGCCTGCCACTGGCTCCCTGGGGACGTGGCCCTTGGTCTGCGCAGCCTGCAGCTGCAAGGTCTGGGGGTGGCCATCCTGCCTGGTCCCCTCCTTCCTGACCATGCGGAGCACCAGCATGGGGGTGGGGGGCTGGTATGCCTCCCTCCTGCCCGGTTCACTTGGAGTTTGAGGCAGGGGGGCTGGGCTCAGGCTCCCCCACCACCTGTCTCCCCATCCCTCCTTCCTCCCCCACCCCTCTCCTCCCCTCAGGCTTCTTGATGGGCTGTGGGTGGTGACTCTGGGCTGCTGCTGCCTGGAGCTGAGGCTGGGGGGTGCCCTGGTCCCCGCTGGAGGGAGCCTGTCTGTTGGGGAGTCAAAGGCCCGCAGGACAGCAGAAGGCCCCTGCGGACAGCCAAGGTGCCGCTGGACCTGGAAAGCTCTCTGTGATGCAGTTCAGATTATTTAGAAGACAGTTTCTAGAAAAATAACACGTGCATTGTAGGAAGCCCAGACAATTCAGAAAGGCAGGGAGAAGAAAAGAAAACTCAGGCCCGCCGGGCATCCTGGAGCTGTCTTGTTGCCGGCTGGCTCGGACTTCACCTAGTTGTCCCTGGAGCCAGTGTCACCGTGCTTTGTCTTCATCTATCGTTGTCCGTCCACCATCCACCCATCGCACATCGCTACGTATGTAGGCTGCCCCCTGCCCCCCACCGATCTGGGTCATTGGGGCTGAGCTGAGCGCTATACCCATAGGCTGAGCTCTCCCAGACCCTCCATGCTTCCAGAAAGCTCCACACTCCCGTGCTGGAGCAGTGGGCATTCAGCAGCAGGCTACCACCATTGTAAACATTTCCTCACTTGCAAAGGGGGGAGACTTCTCCCCAGCCTGGGTCTCCTCCAGGGGCGCAGGGGTCTGCTCTAATTACCTGGGGTCGCGAGCCATGGCCGGAGGGGACTCACAGCCCATGGGGCGGGGGTGGGGAGGAGCATGAGCAAAGGGTGCGGCCAGAGAAATGTGGGGGCAGATGCACATCTACCTTCATGGCTCTGAGGGCAGGTGGAAAAAACAGAGGTTTCCAGGAAGGATGTAACCCTGAGCTCTCCAGCCCCAGGGCAGGGCCTGGGGGTGCTCGCTGGTCACACCCGCAAGCCTCAGCCCATCTGCTGAGACATACAGGCCTTCCTGCTTCCCAGCAGCTTCCGAAAGCCAGGACAGGTGGGGAAATGAGGCCCCACTGTGATCACCAGGTGCATCATGGACTTATAGGGCCAAGCACGCAGCATCCCCACTGGTCCTGCGGGATCAGCTTGCCTGGGGTTTCCTCCAGTTCTCAAGGTCAAGACAGGTCAGGGTGGCCATGCCCCTGTCTGTGGGGATCGTCGGGGCCCCTGAATGGGAGTTTTGAGCTCAGTCCACATCACCAGGTATCAGGACCCCTGGGTGGGGGTCCTGTCCTCATCATGACCCTGGCTCCCAGGGCCCGGAGTGGGGGTGAGGGGCCAGGGGAGCTCACTTGTGCTTCCTCTCCAGCAGACACTGATTTTTTTGGGGGGCTCCAATAGAAGGCATGCAACATTGTGCCTTCCTCCTCCCTCCACAATCTCGCATCTCATCCCCTCCCATGGCATTTAAAAATCTTACTTTCCTTGCCAACAGTAAGAGAATGGAAGACTTTCTGTTAAAATCTAGTTCTGGTGGGGAGCATGGGAAGGCCCGCTGGGCAAGGCGCATGGTGCGTGTCCACAGCGAGGGCACCCCATCGCCCAGGTGGGCAGAGGCCCAGAGGCAGACAGGAGGGAGGGCTTCCCGGTGGAGGGGGCACAGGACAGGTGGGGGCTGTGGGCCTGGGGGGCTGGAGGGGGCCAAGGAGAGCTGGGGCGACCTGTGTGATCTATACACGTGTATCAGCACATTGATCCATATGTAGCACATTTACACACACACGTAGCTATCCATTTCTGTGCACACACGTATGTGCCCACGTGTGCACCATTTATATCTGTGCTTGTGTATCTACCATAGTGTGCAGCCCCTTTGCCTTGGGCTGTCCAGAGTCCTGGGACTTTCCAGCATGTCTGGTGAGTTCTCTTCCTCCGCAGCAGCCTCCTAGGAAGGATCTGGACTCTGTCTGTGTGCTGGGGACACCCGGGTCTCCTTCAGGGCCTGGCCGGACCACAGACTGGGCAGCCCCTGGCTGGTGACTGGCTTGAGGTTTAACAGTACATGAAGGCCGGTCCGGGGGTCTACACCAGCATACTGGGAGCCGACGAGCCGCCCACCTGGGGTTGAGGGACTGTGATGGGACAGTAACTCCAGGTGTGTCGGCCCAGCACCTCCCTAGCGCCCTACCCCTGCAGACCTCGGCTTGGAGGCCAGGAGATCCATCTAGCCCAGGTTCACCTGGGACCCCAGCCTGCAGGGTGTCAGCAAATGGACACTTATGATTGTATTCGTGTAACGTGGGAATCCAGGAATCCGTGAAGGGCCGTGGGAGCTCAGTCCTGCTGAGGAGGGCTGGGCCCTCGTCCCCACCCTCAATCCGGGTCTGGGTGCGGTCGGTGCTGTGATGCTGCCAAACCTGGCCCCTGAGCCCCCAACCCTGCTGCTCTATCTGCCACCTGGAGTGAGACCCTGGGGTGTCGGTGGGAAGGGCACTCACCATCCACTGATGAGTTAGGAGGCACGATGATAGAGCAGCTGTACGGTCAGATTTGGTGTCGACAGTGCGCTGGTCCAAACACGGCACCACCCGTGGGGGCAGCACCATGCAGCTCACGGCTGGTCCCGGTGACTCCTCTTTAGGACATCTGGGTCAGGACCTCTCCAACCCCAGAAACCGTCTTGCAGAGGCAGTCTTAGGACCCCCCAGATCCTGCTGTGGGCAGAGTTGTACTCCCACAGATGCTCCCCGTAGAGGAATATTTAGTTTCCAAACAAGAAATCACAGTGCGCTGTCCTTGCTTGTTACCACGGAGCTGTGTGCTAATTCTCCTGCAAGAAGTGTGTACCCTCAAAAAAAAAAAACCCCACAAACAAACAAAAAGAAGTGTGACCCTCGGGCATGGAGGAGGACCACAAACGACTGCATGGGCCATCCGTCCGAGTTCCCTGGGGCTCCAGAAAGAGTGGTGGGCAGAGTGCGGGGCTCCAAGGGCTGTGTCTGGGCTGCGCTCCTGTGTGCCCCCTTCACGGGGCAGGGGGGCTGAGGTGGACAGTGGGAAAGCCCCAGAAGGCAGGGCCTGGGCCCCGGAGCAGGGCTGCCCGGGGCGTCCTTCAAAGCTGGCCTGTGGCCGAGGCCCTCAAGGCACGAGGTGGGCAGCGGGCTCGGTGTGCAAGGCCTCCCACGGGCCCGTGTGGACATGGCCACTCCTCCCTGCGGGTCTGAGGGATGTGGACAAGTGCTTATGGAAGCGGGAGACATCAGTCCACCTCTCTCGACAGTTGGCAGAATGACTTCAAATGACTTCATGGATGTTAGCAGGAATGTGGGAAAGCTTGGCGCCAGTGTCACCGAGCCCAACCCTCTGACGTCGACAGGACTCCCTGCCCACTGACAGCA